TCGGTGTCAGAGTACATCCAAGCCCCCGCTGATTTTATGAGGCAAGAGAAAAAGGGAAGGAATTAATAGTCAGCAGAGCCACCAGAGTCAAATTACAAATAGACTGACAAACGGTAACCACGTTATCTTTCTTGATAAAAATTGTCCCTACTTTTGTTTCTCGTTGAGTGCACAGCTTGTAAGGCCGTGTGATAATAGAGATTTTCATGATCCATTGCCACAGTTAGTTACGTTCCCTCTTTTTTTCTCCCTCGGTGAAAACAAAAGAAAAACTGAAAAAGTAATCCATATGGATTGTGTACAATCTCGGCTTTTGTGTGCTGCTTGAAAGACTTTTTCAGGATGATTTCTATGATTCACTAGCATAGATAATTACCTTCAAACCTCTTCTCTCTCTCTGAAAAGAAAACAAAATGAGACATTATGATCGGGTATCAAAGTACATCCAAGCCCCCTCTGATTTTATGAGGGAAGGGAAGAGGGAAGGAGTTACAAGTCAGCAGAGCCACCATAGTCAAGTTATCCAATCAAGCTTGGTGAAAGTACATAAACCATAATTGAGCTATGCATAAAGAATTTACAGCATAGAATGACAAACAGTAACCACGTTATCTTTCTAGATAAAACTGTCCCTATTTGTGTTTCTCGTTAAGTGCACAGGTTGTAAGGCCGTGTGATAATAGATATTTTCTTGATCCATTGCCACAGTTAGTTACGTTCCCTCTTTTTTCTCCCTCGGTGAAAATAAAAGAAAACTGAAAAAATAATCCGTATGGATTGTGTACAATCTCGGCTTCCGTGTCCTACTTGAAAGACTTTGTACCGAAAATAAAGATTTCCATGATTTACTTGTAATGAGAGACTTTGTGTCGATAATAAAGATTTCTATGATTTATTAGCATAGATAATTACCTTTAAAACTCTTCTCTCTCTCTGAAAAGAAAAGAAAATGAGATATTATGATCGGGTATCAAAGTACATCCAAGTCCCCGCTGATTTTATGAGGGAAGGGAAAAGGGAAGGAATTAATAGTGAGCAGAGCTACCATAGTCAAGTTATGCGATCAATCTCGGCTTCCGTGTCCTACTTGAAAGACTTTGTGCCGAAAATAAAGATTTCCATGATTTACTTGAGAGACTTTGTGTCGATAATAAAGATTTCCATGATTTATTAGCATAGATTACCTTCCAAACGCATCTCTCTTGCTGAAAAGAAAACAAAATGAGATATTATGATCGGGTATCAAAGTACATCCAAGCCCCCGCTGATTTTATGAGGGAAGGGGAAAGGGAAGGAATTAATAGTGAGCAGAGCTACCAGAGTCAAGTTCTCCAGTCAAACTTTATGAAAGTACATAAACCATAATAGAGCTATGCATAAAGAATTTACAACATAGAATGACAAACAGTAACTACGTTATCTTTCTAGATAAAACTGTTCCTATTTTTGTTTCTCGTTAAGTGCACAGGTTGTAAGGCCGTGTGACAATAGATATTTTCTTGATCCATTGCCACAGTTAGTTACGTTCCCTCTTTTTTCTCCCTCGGTGAAAATAAAAGAAAACTGAAAAAATAATCCATATGGATTGTGTACAATCTCGGCTTCCGTGTCCTACTTGAAAGACTTTGTGCCGAAAATAAAGATTTCCATGATTTACTTGAGAGACTTTGTGTCGATAATAAAGATTTCCATGATTTATGAGCATAGATTACCTTCCAAACTCATCTCTCTCTCTGAAAAGAAAACAAAATGAGATATTATGATCGGGTATCAAAGTACATCCAAGCCCCCGCTGATTTTATGAGGGAAGGGGAAAGGGAAGGAATTAATAGTGAGCAGAGCTACCAGAGTCAAGTTCTCCAATCAAACTTAATAAACGTTGTTGCTATTATTGTAAATTCATAGTGTGATGCTTAAATCAATTTAAGTGCTTAGAATGCGCTATGATAAAATAAAGAAAACTAAACCCAATGTATGGAGTATATTTGCTATTATCAAACGGGCATACATATCCAATGTTTAGTGTATAGAGTGAATATTGAAATACTGTCAAAATAAAAATTATTAAGATTAATTATCATAGATAACAAATAAATTACCTGATCGCCCAAACGTGAACCCTAAAATAAAAAATAAAATGACTAATTACGATAAGGTTTGCAAATACATTCAAGCCCCCGCTGATTTTACGAGGGAAGGAAAACAGTTATTTACGTTCCCTCTTTTGTCTCCCGCGATGAAAAAGAAAAAACTGAGAAAATAATGCAACACGATTTTGAGTAATTTCAAAGTCAGGAATGCTCCTTAACTCTTTGGTCACGCAATCAACATATTGCGTGATTTTATTTTTATTTTTAAGACTTTGTGCCGATAATGAAGATTTCTTTGATCAAGTAGCATAGATAATTACCTAGGAAATCCATTCTCTCTGAAAAGAAAAGAAAATGAGAAATTATGACCGTAATCAGAGTACATCCAAGCCCCCGCTGATTTTATGAGGCAAGAGAAAAAGGGAAGGAATTAATAGTCAGCAGAGCCACCAGAGTCAAATTACAAATAGACTGACAAACGGTAACCACGTCATCTTTCTGGATAAAATTGTCCGTACTTTTGTTTCTCGTTGAGTGCATAGCTTGTAAGGCCATGTGATAATAGAGATTTTCATGATCCATTGCCACAGTTAGCTACGTTCCCCTTTTTTTTTTTCTCCCTCGGTGAAAACAAAAGAAAAACTGAAAAAGTCATCCATATGGATTGTGTACAATTTCGGCTTTTGTGTGCTGCTTGAAAGACTTTTTCAGGATGATTTCTATGATTCACCAGCATAGATAATTACCTTCAAACCTCTTCTCTCTCTCCGAAAAGAAAACAAAATGAGACATTATGATCGGGTATCAAAGTACATCCAAGCCCCCGCTGATTTTATGAGGGAAGAGAAGAGGGAAGGAGTTACAAGTTAACAGAGCCACCATAGTCAAGTTATCCAATGAAACTTAATGAAAGTACATAAACCATAATAGAGCTATCCATAAAGAATTTACAACATAGAATGACAAACAGTAACCACGTTATCTTTCTAGATAAAACTGTCCCTATTTGTGTTTCTCGTTAAGTGCACAGGTTGTAAGGCCGTGTGATAATAGATATTTTCTTGATCCATTGCCACAGTTAGTTACGTTCCCTCTTTTTTTCTCCCTCGGTGAAACTAAGAGAAAACTGAAAAAATAATCCATATGGACTGTGTACAATCTCGGCTTCCGTGTCCTACTTGAAAGACTTTGTGCCGAAAATAAAGATTTCCATGATTTACTTGAGAGACTTTGTGTCGATAATAAAGATTTCCATGATTTATTAGCATAGATTACCTTCCAAACTCATCTCTCTCTCTGAAAAGAAAAGAAAATGAGATATTATGATCGGGTATCAAAGTACATTCAAGCCCCCGCTGATTTTATGAGGGAAGGGGAAAGGGAAGGAATTAATAGTGAGCAGAGCTACCAGAGTCAAGTTCTCCAATCAAACTTAATGAACGTTGTTGCTATTATTGTAAATTCATAGTGTGATGCTTAAATCAATTTAAGTGCTTAGAATGCGCTATGATAAAATAAAGAAAACTAAACCCAATGTATTGAGTATATTTGCTATTATCAAACGGGCATACATATCCAATGTTTAGTGTATAGAGTGAATATTGAAACACTGTCAAAATAAAAATTATTAAGATTTATTATCATTGATAACAAATAAATTACCTGATCCCTCCGACGTGAACCCTAAAATAAAAATAAAATGACTAATTACGATAAGGTTTGCAAATACATTTAAGCCCCCGCTGATTTTACGAGGGAAGGGAAACAGTTATTTATGTTCCCTCTTTTGTCTCCCGCGATGAAAAAGAAAAAACTGAGAAAATAATGCAACACGATTTTGAGTAATTTCAAAGTCAGGAATGCTCCTTAACTCTTTGGTCACGCAATCAACATATTGCGTGATTTTATTTTTATTTTTAAGACTTTGTGCCGATAATGAAGATTTCTTTGATCTAGTAGCATAAATAATTACCTTGGAAATCCATTCTCTCTGAAAAGAAAAGAAAATGAGAAATTATCATCGGTGTCAGAGTACATCCAAGCCCCCGCTGATTTTATGAGGCAAGAGAAAAAGGGAAGGAATTAATAGTCAGCAGAGCCACCAGAGTCAAATTACAAATAGACTGACAAACGGTAACCACGTTATCTTTCTGGATAAAATTGTCCGTACTTTTGTTTCTCGTTGAGTGCACAGCTTGTAAGGCCGTGTGATAATAGAGATTTTCATGATCCATTGCCACAGTTAGCTACGTTCCCCTTTTTTTTTTCTCCCTCGGTGGAAACAAAAGAAAAACTGAAAAAGTAATCCATATGGATTGTGTACAATTTCGGCTTTTGTGTGCTGCTTGAAAGACTTTTTAAGGATGATTTCTATGATTCACTAGCATAGATAATTACCTTCAAACCTCTTCTCTCTCTCTGAAAAGAAAACAAAATGAGACATTATGATCGGGTATCAAAGTACATCCAAGCCCCCTCTGATTTTATGAGGGAAGAGAAGAGGGAAGGAGTTACAAGTCAGCAGAGCCACCATAGTCAAGTTATTCAATCAAACTTGGTGAAAGTACATAAACCATAATAGAGCTATGCATAAAGAATTTACAACATAGAATGACAAACAGTAACCACCTTATCTTTCTAGATAAAACTGTCCCAATTTTTGTTTCTCGTTAAGTGCACAGGTTGTAAGGCCGTGTGATAATAGGTATTTTCTTGATCCATTGCCACAGTTAGTTACGTTCCCTCTTTTTTCTCCCTCGGTGAAAATAAAAAAAACTAAAAAAATAATCCGTATGGATTGTGTACAATCTCGGCTTCCGTGTCCTACTTGAAATACTTTGTGCCGAAAATAAAGATTTCCATGATTTACTTGAGAGACTTTGTGCCGATAATAAAGATTTCCATGATTTATTAGCATAGATAATTACCTTCCAAACTCTTCTCTCTCTCTGAAAAGAAAACAAAATGAGATATTATGATCGGGTATCAAAGTACATCCAAGCCCCCGCTGATTTTATGAGGGAAGGGAAAAGGGATGGAATTAATAGTGAGCAGAGCTACCATAGTCAAGTTATACGATCAAACTTGGTGAAAGTACATAAACCATAATAGAGCTATGCATAAAGAATTTACAACATAGAATGACAAACAGTAACCACCTTATCTTTCTAGATAAAACTGCCCCTATTTTTGTTTCTCGTTAAGTGCATAGGTTGTAAGGCCGTGTGATAATAGATATTTTCTTGATCCATTACCACAGTTAGTTACGTTCCCTCTTTTTTCTCCCTCGGTGAAAATAAAAGAAAACTGGAAAAATAATCCGTATGGATTGTGTACAATCTCGGCTTCCGCGTCCTTCTTGAAAGACTTTGTGCCGAAAATAAAGATTTCCATGATTTACTTGAGAGACTTTGTGTCGATTATAAAGATTTCCATGATTTATTAGCATAGATTACCTTCCAAACTCTTCTCTCTCTCTGAAAAGAAAACAAAATGAGATATTATGATCGGGTATCAAAGTACATTCAAGCCCCCGCTGATTTTATGAGGGAAGGGGAAAGGGAAGGAAGCGAGAGCGCAGAATTTCTCGTCTGTAGAAGCAGGTGTTTTAGCACTCTGGAACTTGTAATAGTGTCAAACAACACGCAGCATGTGACTTTAAAAATTTCCGAAAATGAGCAATGATGGTGATAAACGATCAAATTACTGGCTAATGGATGTTTTGTGCCGTTCAAATGCCACATTTGCTGATTTTAGCAAATCTCTAAAGTGATAAACGACAGAAGAAAGAAACGCTACGGTTTTCCTATCGATTTTTCGCCTACATGCATCTCTCTAAACGTGAAATTTTCCATTCCTGCAAAATATCTCGAAAGTTTTTCATATTTTTCAGCTTTCCTGATCAATCATCTTGTAAGAGCTAAAAAATGTAGGTTCATGTAATCAGGTGACCGCCTAGAGCCAGAATTGCGTGACAAGTGTAGTTGAGAGAAGCTTGTCACAGTCGCAGATTTTAAAAGGCATCCAAGACAAAAATACGGTTGTGCCCAAAGATTTTTTTAATGGTTTTCAGAGATGAAGTGATGGATTATAAAGGGGAATTTGGATCAGTGTTGTAACTTTCTGGCAAGGAGAGATATTTGACCTCAAAGTTATCAAATATTTGGATGAATCGAAAAGTCTGAAAACACAGTCGTTTATTTGCCTCTGTTGATTGACAAGCAGTCAATCGAATTGACTGATACTTTCCTCAAGCATTGTCCAAAAGCTGGCAGATGCTGGTCTTTCTTATCATAAACTACAATCTCTATACCACAGATTCAACATCAATGGCCTGTATGGTGTACTTGCATTGACGCCAACAGAAAAATCCACTTGTCGCCCTAAGTCGAATTCCGCAAGAGTGACTTCAAACAAGAGAATTCTCTCCGAAATACTTTCACATTTCCAACAGTCGTAACGGTAAGCAGTCTGAGACTCTAAGAATAATTTTTTTTCAGGAATGTGTAAAATCACTAAAGAAGTCGAGTCCATTTTCAGAACGAACACTTTTTCCTTCGGATGGCTTTTCCTTCGCTGAAGACATCGATTGATCGCGCGGACGCGCACTCGTCTTCGCGAAGATGAGCCGTTGAGTCAGCGGTGTCGTTTAAAACGCGTGACCGGATGCAAAAGTTTGAGCTAAAATTGCGAAAACCGGAAATAAAGCTTGCTAAGTTGATAAGCTAGTATCTCGAAAATTAGCTCGGTGACCTACCCTGATTTTTTGTGTACAAATTATTTTCACTATTACGCATTCCTGAAGAAAAGTTTAAAAAAATTTATCTGATGAGAATTTTTTTTACATTTTAAAACAGCATTTTCCTAAATAACTCAAGTTCTACTGGACAGTTTTTTTTATATCACGTGTACAGATGGAGAATGTGATGATGTTTAGAAATTTGAAAAAAGAAACAAGGTCACCGCCTTTGTTTTTGAGATATCTTTCAAAAACTGAGTTTTAGAGGATCTTTTAGCACTACTGTACTTTTGCCATGGCAACAGATGATGTCTGACGAACCCCCTTAAAAGATTGCCCTTAAAATAGTGTAATGCATATGTCAAGTCTTTATCCTGATGATAAGTTTGACACTCCTGATATCTTTTACTGATTGGCACTTGCCGTTAATTGTGGAAAACCCTTTCGAGCCTCCTTAAGCTAGCAAAGTTTCACTGAAATCGGTGAGATGGCATGTAGCACGACTGCCCGGTGCTCTCGTGGACACACTCTTAAATTACGCTATGTAAACATTATACGTGGAATGCATCAGTAATAATGCACACCTAAAATAAAGAAAATGAAACTCAATGCATTATTGAGTATTTGCTAGTATCAAACACACATACATATCCAATGTTTTGCTCATAGAGTGAATATTGAAACACTGTCAAAATGAAAGTTATTATGATTCATTATCATAGATAACAAATAAATTACCTTCTAGCCTCTTCATCGCCTCTAAAATAAAAAAAAAAAGATTCATTACGATAAGGTATGAAAATACATTCAAGCCCCCGCTGATTCTATGAGGGATGGTAATAGGGAAGGAATTAATAGTCAGCAGAGCCACCAGAGTCAAGCTATCCAATGAAACTTGAGAGCGTTGTTGCCATGAAACTCAATGTATTATTGAGTATATTTGCTAGTTTCAAACACACATACATATCCTATTTTTAGCGCATAGAGTGAATATTGAAACACTGTCAAAATGAAAGTTATTAGGATTCATTATCATAGATTACAGATAAATTACCTTGGTGCATCTTCGCCCCCTCTAAAATAAAAACAAAATGACTAATTACGATTAGGTATGAAAATGCATTCAAGCCCCCGCTGATTTTATGAGGGATGGTAATAGGGAAGGAATTAATAGTCAGCAGAGCCACCATAGTCAAGTTATCCAATCAAACTTGGTGAACGTACATGAACTATAATAGAGCTATGCAGAGACTTTTACCAAAAGATTGACAAACGCTAACTGCGTTATCTTTTTAGATAAAACCTTCTGCCGATAAAGAACATTTTTATGATTTATTAGCACAGTCGAATAATTACCTTCCATCTCCTTTAACCGGTCCGAAAAGAAAACAGAATGAGAAATTACGATCAGGTATAAAAGTATATCTAATCCCTCGCTGATTTTATGAGGGAAGGTAAAAGGGAAGGAATTAATAGTCAGCAGAACCACAAAAGTCAAGTTATCCAATAAACTTGGTGAACGTACATGAACCATAAGACTTTACGGTAACTGCGTTATCTTTCTAGATAAAACGGTCCCTACTTTTGTTTCTTGCTTAGTGCACAACTTGTAAGGCCGTGCGATAATAGAGATTTCCATGATCCATTGTCACAGTTTGTTAACTTCCCTCTTTTTTTCCCCCGTAGTGAAAATAAAAGGGAACTGAAAAAAAATCCATATGGACTGTGTACAATCTCGGCTTTCGTGTGCTACTTGGATAACTTTGTGCCGATAGTGAAATTTTTTATGATTTATTAGCGCAGCGGAATAATTACCTTTCATCTCCTTGAACCGTTCTGAAAAGAAAACAAAATAAAAAAAATACGATCAGGCATAAAAGTACGTCCAAGCCCCCGCTGATTTTATGAGGGAAGGGAAAAGAGAAGGAATTAATAGTCAGCAGAGCAACCAGAGTCAACTTATCCAATCAAACTTGGTGAACGTTGTTGCCATTGTTTTTAAATTTATAGAACGATACTTAAACTAGCTTAAGTCCATAGAATGCGCTATGATAAAATAAAGAAAATGAAACTCAATATGTTATTGAGTATATTAACTATGGTCAAACATACATGCGTATTCAATGTTTTGCTCATAGAGTGAATATTGAACACTGTCAAAATGAAAGTTATCAGGATTCATTATCATAGATAACAAATAAATTACCTTCTAGCCTCTTCATCGCCTCTAAAATAAAAGCAAAGGGATTAATTACGATAAGGTATGAAAATACATTCAAGCCCCCGCTGATTTTGTGAGGGATGGTAATAGGGAAGGAATTAATAGTCAGCAGAGCCACCAGAGTCAAGCTATCCAATGAAACTTGAGAGCGTTGTTGCCATTGTTTTAAATTTATAATACGATGCTTAAACAAGTTTAAGTCCAGAGAATGCCCCATGATAAAATAGAGAAAATGAATTATTGAGTATATTTGGTATTGTCAAACATAATACATATCCAATGTTAAGTGTATAGTATTTTTGTTCGTTTTTCTCCCATGTATTGCAACTCATAATTAAGGTCCAGTTCCAATGTCGAATTTCTCATTTGACGGATCAACTTGTCTGTTACGTACATTATAAGTTCGGTAGGATTCGTGTTCTTTCTCAATGTATTATTGAGGATAATTGCTAGTATCAAACACGCATACATATCCAATGTTTAGTGCATAGAGTGAATATTGAAACATTGTCAAAATGAAAGTTATTGGGATTCATTATCATAGATAACAAATAAATTACCTTCGTGCCTCTTCATCTCCTCTAAAATAAAAACAAAATGACTAATTACGATAAGGTATGAAAATACATTCAAGCCCCCGCTGATTTTATGAGGGATGGTAATAGGGAAGGAATTAATAGTCAGCAGAGCCACCAGAGTCAAGTTATCCAATCAAACTTGGTGAACGTACATGAACCATAACAGAACTATGCAGAGACTTTTACCAAAAGATTGACAAACGCTAACTGTGTTATCTTTCTAGATAAAACCGTCCCTAATTTTGTTTTTAGTTTAGTGCACAGCTTGTAAGGCCATGTGATAATATAGATTTCCATGATCCATTACAAAGGAGACTGATAATTAACAATTTTTTTGCCGAAGTTTAACACCGAAAACTTGATTTTGAGCCAGTTTTTTCTCAATGGAACTACTGGCCAACGAGAGGGAAATTGTTTTTCGTATTAATATCCGGCGGGCGCTTTACTGAGGTAGCCACGTACTCCAAATCTCATTGAAAGCACTGATTACTAAGAGGCAATATTTATTAACTGATAACTGAACTAGACGATAGACTAAACGGGGGAGTAAGTTTCTAAAATTTATTGCAGTGCTGCTTCCAATCGGTGGAGGGTATAAAAAGTTTCCTTTTAATCAGCTTAGTCGATATTTCTAATTGACCGGCGCAAAAAGATTCAGAAGCTGACAACTCGAGCGTTAGCCGCTCCTCAGACGTTTCCGGTAAATCCTCAAAGGAAACACAGTAAAAAATGATCAGTCGAACAAATGGCTGTGGGCAGGTTAGTTTTCATGGTCGTTTTTACACCTCTTATGAGCTACGCTTTACCCTTCTCAAGAAAATCATCTCCTACACTTTTATTAAGATATTTTTTAACAAAAAAAATTGAGTTGTTGGTATCCAATTGAAAAACATATATACCGATTGTACATAATATAGAATGTAGTGTGCTACTTATTAGTACAGATAAGTAACTTCCACACCCTCTCAAAATCTGACATGTTTGAAAAGAAAACAAAATGAGAGATTACGACATGAAGATTCATCCACACCCGGGCTGAGATGATGAGAACACTCCTATTTAAGAGAGCTGAATTGTCGCTTAGAACAAATGCAGACCGGCAAGGTTTAAAGAAAAGGAACTAATGTAGTCAGCAGAGTCTGTAAAGCCAAGTTATCCATTCTAATTTAGTGAGCGCCGTACGAATCACAAGGAGGCCATGCATGCAAAGACAGAGAGGGGTAGGGTAAGTCACTTTCACCTCTCACTTTTTAAAAGCCTGGAGAAATTGAGTCACTAAGCACATCAGTTGATTCAGTAACATTTGAATGTAAAACTGCTGATCATCCTTAATTTCATGTAAACTACAATTCAAAACCAAAGTTTAAATAGTTCAAAATCAAAACAACTAACGATCAGAAAGTTTTTAGAAATATAGTTCCTAAGCAAGCCAAAAATAAATATACGTTTACGAAGTCAACGTAGTCATCACATCGATTTCAAATTCCTGAGCGCGTATCACACATAGAACAGATACTCATAAAATGATGGAGGCTATCCATAAAAGGATAAAAATACAAAAGGGGGGGCAGTATTAATCTTCCGTTTTCATGAGCCAGAGGGACTTAAGTAACCAAGCACAGTTTGTTTCCATTCGAAGTATTGGACGTTAAAGAAAGTTTAAATAGTCTGAAAAGGAAGTAATTCATATTAAATAGTTGTTAGAGACCTTTAGTTCTGAGGTAAGCTGAAAATATATAGCATTTCAACTGAATTGGAATCTTATCGTACTGCATTCGGCTAAGTGCTCCTTAGTTTGAGGCTTCGTTTAATTGAGAAGCGATCTTGCTTTTTACTGTCCAAAATTGTCACTATAGTATTATACCACAAACTCATACACGTCATATACCTCTCTAGGAAATACTGTCGCTCAAAAATTCACCCTGTAACCCTGGCGGATTCCTCTAATGTCCAACAATTACGATTGATCTATTACGATGTAGAAAGCAAAACAGTGCTCTTAAAAGAGAACCCTAAGGCACTATATATTTCAATTAAATTTGATCAAAGTGCTGAATTTTGTCATTAAGTAGACATTTTGATAGGCCTTCTTAATGTAGCTAAATCATGCATTATGTTGTTCGATTGCACTGATACACGATTACGAGATCTGCCCATCCGTTAAAGGTGTTATCAATAGCTTTGGGAGCTGAATCACGCCTACTTGTATAGCTTGTATGGTGTAGCATGATTCGCCCTTGGTTTCCTCGCAATTTTTTTGTGGTATCAGTTTAGGTTATATCGATCCTTTACGAATTCCCTCTCTTGAGCCCCTCTCGATGCTAACGCACAGAGTATGCTATCGTCAACATTCTTAAATTTAATACAAATAATATTATACTTTGTTAGCTTTCAGTGCGATAATCGTTGAGTGGGGCAACTTGAGTGTATCAAATACTAGAGGAATGCATTGGTTTAGTTGGGATTTTGGTCAAGACCCTGCGGTTCCTCGTGGAACCTATGTTTATTTGAAGACTTCCCGCTTTGATACTCACCTAGGCTAACTTCCTCAACAGTTACTTTTACGTCTTCTTGAGGTTCAAGTAAAGACCTGCAGAAGATTATTAAAAGTTATAAAATTTGAGCTTATTGTGATGTTTCGTGTTTCTGAGTAGAAATATTCAGAGAAAGATTGTATTTTCAAATGTAAAATTGGATTTTTAGAAATCCTATGAAAAAGTTTCATTAAACTATCTACAAAGAATTGATTTCGCTTTTTACCTTAGTTCTTGTTCTCTCTGGAATACCTCTTGGCCATTTACGATAGTTACTTCTAACTCTTTGTCAAATCCAATTTTTTTTAGCTCTTCTTCCAATCGACGCTTCACTTTCTTCTCCTTAAAGTCCTTCACAAATTGTAGTACACTCTGCGGTGTATGGCAACGGAGTTTCACAATGATGGAACCTTCTTCAATATTTATGACCTCAGGATCAGCTGCTCCAATCGCATTCATTCTTTCTAGGCTATTTCTAATCGCATTTTCTGTTTTCCACCTGTAACGTAAATAAAATGCACCCAACGTCACCGCCGCACCCGCTGCCAAGGCAACTCCTGCCACAATGGGGTTGTCAATTTTCAATGAGACTGAGAGGGCCCCTCCAGTGATTGACGCTGATGCCTCAAGAGCGGCCCTGGCTGCCTCTGCCCCAACTGCAGTACTTTCCCTAGCCATTCAATATGAACTTGCTGGCTTCCACCACACCGTTATGCCATGAGGTGCCCTGCAAAAAAACAAACAAACAAACAAACAAACAAAAACACTATCAGCAAGATTTTGCTAAGTGTAGTGCGTGTAATTCAACTTTTATTCCTGAGCTACCTCAACTGAGGAAAGCCTGGTTTAAAATTCGGTCGTTCCATGTTGTAAGAAATGCTATATACATCGGAAGTTTGCTATGTTGTACAATTTCATTGGCTTCAACATGATCCCTTGGGAGGTGCAACTTATATGGCATGATGCCATTGGCTTCAACTGGAAATGAAGTATGTTTCGCCATTTCACGTGTTTTCGACCGTGTATTCTTTACAGACGATCTCTTTGCGCCGGTTGGTGAGAGTGTGTTCTTAGAGGAGTAAAATTAATATGTATCTTTTAGAGTTTACATGTCTAAGTTATCACATCTTTCGAAGTTTTTACACGGCAGACGGAGGAAAAAGATTCGATACTTGCTTTCGAAGTTCCTAACGAAAAGCGGCGTCAACATCTCCATTGCGAGCCTATTTCAGACAGCAGTCGACGCGGCGTTCAAGTTATGGGCCTCATCAATAGAAAAATATTTTCTAGCCTATGTCACAGTAGGAAGTATCGCATCGATGTATGTTCACAAATGAAACCTATTGCCTATTGTGAGCTGTATGGCATTGGGATACATTTCAACCCAGGCAATTTTAAACACAAACCCTGTTGTGGCAGCGATGATATGAATCTGTCGATGGTGACAGTATCAGCGAGACCCATTGCTTATTGTGGGCTGTATGGCTTTAGATACATTTCAGACCAAACAATGTGAAACACAAAGCCCATTGTGGCGGCCATTAAATCGATCTTTCGGTGGCTACAACATCACTGAGCCCCGACGGTGGGGTAGTATAATTTATAATCTTGCTTCACGGCATACTTTCTCCGTACAACTACCCTCTGTTCGTCATGCATCTTCAAAAGCTGTCGTACATCATTGCTTATCATTTTTAATTTGTAAATAACTGTTGGACTAAAAAGTTGTTCTAGCTTACCATAACATTGTTCCGACTGAGAAAAGATGGCCAATTTTTGTGTCCAAAATTGACTTAGAGCTGCTAAGAAAACAGCTCGAAACAGTTTTTCCTATCATTTCAAATTACTTTTTTTTTAACTTTCCTTTAAAAAAAAACCATGGTATTGACGAGAAATTTTAACTGAAATATAATTTTAATAACACCTCGTGTAGGTCGCAAATAAATCGCACACTATGACTAAGAAAAGCAGGTAATTTAGTGTTAACAACTGGGTGGAAAACGTAAATTAGCCACCGTAAAGGTTCGAACGCTCGAAACGTCAGCTTTTTTATCCTTTACGGTGGCTAATTTACGTTTTAAACCCAGTTGTTAACACTAAATTACCTGCTATACTCTCCCACCGACGCAGCACCACAGTTTCTTTAGAAACTTACCCCTTTATTCATATGACGAAGAAAAGCTCGTTTTCCTATATGTAATTGGCGATGATGTTCGACATTATGAGATTGCGCATAAAACTGTGTTCAACGAGCTCAACAATACTTAAACCTTCGCAAAATCGCGAAAGATCTGAATTTACACGGTATTTTCCAAGAATTCTCTTTTCTATACTTTAAAAGGTTAGCCAAGTCACATAACGTCGGCTATGAATTATTTAGAGCAATGACTCTAAAAGTTTAAGGTAGCCCACCGCCATTTTCTTTTCTAGAAAATGTTGTTTGACCCTCAAATCTGATAATATCTCAGTTTATTCGCACTGAGATATGATGCCTTATGAAATCTAACATTTTAGTATTCTGAATGCCAAAAATCAAAGAAAGCGGTTTACGTTTAAATGCCGAAAATTCGACTTAGAGCTAGACCTCTGCCGGCCCTTATAAATATCCATATATCTTTGTTCAAAGTTTATTATAATTGGAAACATGTGGTCCGTCGCCGTGCTGTTGTTGCAAGCAAATCCTGTGGGATTTGAACGCTTTTGTTATCGAAACAATTTCTTTTGTCCCTCTAAATTTGCACACCCATTGACCACGTGAGTGAACCGCACTCTACAGTGGTTGCATCGGTCATGATGAAACATAGACCGCAGATCGTGCAGACTTTGAAATTTATAGGTTTTCTTTTTTTTTTAACTGTGATTTACCTATGATCAAGGTGTATACACTTTTTTCTTGCCCTTGGTAACGTTGGAACTGTTTCCAGTTTTTGGACGCCACATGACGAAATTTTACGAGATTATTTCGAGCTTACGTTCCCTAGCAGAACAAAATCGCAGGCTCCAGTTTTTCGAGCACATGGAGATTAGCCCCACGCGGCAAGATGTACTGCAGATGTAATTTGTGTAGACAGTGACGCTGACTCAGAGATAAGGAATGTGTTGTGAGGACGAAGCAAATTATTACTGAGATCTTCACAAGACAGCCCAATGAACTCTTCAGTAAAGAAAGTGCTGCAAGCTAAAATCGAACTTTACTAGGAATTAAGGTTTTTAAATCGGAGCAGAAGACTGATCGATAGCTAATAGAGAACTTTGGCCATGTCAGCGTTGAAGTCAATTGGGTAATAGGTCATGAATAAATTTGTCAGTGTCTCGTGGGCTGTAACGGTCGAAATTCTCGAGCGAAATAAGCGCGGCCTGTACGGTCTGTAGCCTGCGTTTTAGCCTGACCATGGTTGCATGAATGCGCATGAAAGCCATTGATGCGATTCGAAATATATTTTCAGTAAATGGATTCTGGATTCATTCTTTAGCGGGATTCTAGATTCCAAAAGCTGGATTCTGAATTCCAATGCCCAGTATTCCGGATTCCACAAAAATTTCCTGGATTCCGGAATCCGGATTACCTAACATGGGGGAAGTTGACTCTTTTCTTGAACTTGCTTTTGCTATATTCTTAAGGACTCTCTAGGAGAGATCAATTGCAATGTGTTTTTTCAAATTATATCAGATGCATGTTTACAGTTAGAAAACTATGATGAACGGACAGATGTGGCCGTGGTTCGGGAACCTGTTTAGGCTTATTTAGCTCATGCTGTATTTAGTGTCATATTTACAGTGAAAGCAAATGTTGTGATGATGACAGAAGATTTAACAAGTCTTTTTCTTCCTCAAGTGACAAGTCAGACACTTTGTTCTGACTGTTGTAACACTTGCATTTGTAAGAAAATCAAGTATATTTGTACTGTACATAACTTCTTTGAACTTGACGACGTAAGCAAGAAACCAGTGAGCCGGTTGATTTCTTTATCACTGACTTATATGGCCTTACCGAACATTGTCAATTTGGTTTGTTACACGACGAAATGATCCGTGACCGTATTGTGGTGGGTCTAGCTGACCAAAAGCTTTCAGAAAAGTTCCAGTTGGATGCAGACCTTACCTTGGAAAAAGCCATTAAAAGGGTACGACAGAGCGAATCAGTTAGAAGCAACAATCTATAGTTAGAGGACAAGATGACGCAAGTCAACCAGCCGAAGTGGACGGAGTTCACAAGTCCAAACCTCAGAAGTCTCTAAGGACATCACAGAATCCTCAAGGCAAAACCTACAAGCACTCGGTACAAAGTGCTTATCCAAAGCGATGTAAGCAATGATGTCTGCCAACGATGTAGTTTAAGTCCAGCTCACAAAAGAACCCAGTGTCCTGCCAAAGATGCCTATTGCCGAAAATGTAAAAAGAACAGTCACTTCTCAGCCGTTTGCCCAAGCTGAAAAGTAAATGCAGTCGTAGAGGATGATACAGATTACTTTCTTGGTGCCCTTAGTTCGGACGAAAATGATAGTCTACACATAGATCCTTGGAAAACAAATGTCTCTATTAACGGCAATAGCGTTGAATTTAAACTCGATGCTGGAGCTGATCTCTCAGCTGCTCCTGACCTCATCGTTCTTAGGCTGAATGCTACATTTAAAATACTAAGAGGACATCGACAGGGCCTGATGGGTACAAGCTCAAAGTCGCTGGAGTAATCTCCGCCACCTTAAAAGCCAATCACTTGGAGTCAAGGCAGGAAATCTTTGTTTTAGCGGATTTGGGATCTGCACTACTTGGTAAGCCCGGCATTGAAGCTCCGAACCTCGTGAAAGTTGTAAACGCTGTTAAAGAGTCATACATGTAAACATGTAAACATGTAACTCTGTTTGTAAGTTAGACGTTGATAAAATTCCCTTAGAACTAGGATGTCTGGAAAAACTTGAACAGATTCTCATGGCACAGCCCATTGTGTTTGAAAAAAGTTGCTCTCATGCTCTAAGGTCAACAACGTAAAACACAAGGGGCGATCTGAAATGTTCCAGTAGACTACGATTAAACTTGCAATGTTTTGCCAAGACCCCTGAAAGGTCAGGAATGGTTATGCTAAAACTGAAAAGAAAACTTTCGTTACAAGTCTTGTTTATTTTCAAGCTGTACACCCTGACATTGTGCTCAATGCTCTGAATTAGCCGAATGTTAATAACCCTTTGTATAATGGCATAGAAGTGAATGCTACAAATATTCATGAAAGTCTTTCTGAACTGCATCTGTAAATTAGCTCACAAAAGGATAGTGAAGTGTGTCCAATTAGTGATAGAAATAGTGAACAGAGAACAACTGATGATGAAAATGAAGAAGAGAGAGAGGATCCTTCAAATTAATTTTGAGCACCCACTACAGAAACTTGCTTGCAGTCTTATTTAACCCTGTTATCTTCAGGCATTGCATTCAGATGCAAATGACGTTTTCAATATAGTTGCACCAGGTGAAACTAAACATCCAGTTTCATTAATGACTGAAAAAAAGATCTGGCCTTTTCCAGTTATATTCCCAAAAGGTAGATTTAGGTATATGGTGGAGAGAGCAGTTTGCTTATCACCAACAAGATACTTCAATGCCCGTTTGTCAAATTACAGTAACAGATTTGCAATGAATGCTGAGTATTTGTTCTTTGCACAGTTCATAAAAGAACAGGAAAAAGAATCCGATAGTATTAATATAGCTGTCACAAAAGTTCATGGACTGTCTCTTACTGCATCAAATTTAAGGTCCAGTGTGCAAAGTTTATAAAATCTTTTACGTCAAGACCAGGCTTATTTGTTTCTAAGGCAGATACCAGGTACACCTCCCTACTGGAAAACGTTCGTGTGCAGAATTGTAGCCATGGTAAAACAGCTTAGAATACTCACCTGGTTTGTGGCATCGTCCTGGGCTGATAGTTGTTTTATATATAACTATTTTGTCGCTGATCAAAGGTTTTCGAAGCAATGTTGACCTGCAGCCTGTTTTTAATCATTACAAATGTGTAACCTTTGTTTGCTCCTACTTCACAGGGGATGGACTTGAATGTTCACAGGCTATTGTGAATGCAGCAAAGGAAGTTTAAGCCTCAAATTTGAACATTAGAGATGGCTTGAAGAAAATAGGAGCAGTTTTTCTTTCAGGTAGTGAAGCTGGTTCACAAGAATGTGTATACAGATGTATGCCAGAGCTTTGGTTAAGGAAAGTTTTCCAAGAACAGTTTGTGTGTTCATTGATTTCCCAGAGAAGAGAGTTAGAGTTGGAAAGAGTAAGCCAGAACTTAACGAGTTACATGATGATAGCGCATACATACATAAATCAAATATGATAGAACGCTACGTTATCCAACCCAATACAATTGCTGCTGTTGATAACTTGTACTTGGTTGAATTTGCTGCATTCTATTACCAAGTATACAAGACTGACTGCATAAATGATGCACAACCAGGAATACTGACAGTTACCAAGTATACAAGACTGACTGCATAAATGATGCACAATCAGAAATACTAACAGAAGATGCCACAGAATTACATGTTCAATTACCGGCTAAGCACAGATTCTGGTGTCACAAGCTACTTACCTCCCAAAATGAAACTACTCAAAACCAATAAAGTAATGAAATGTAGGAAAAGGAAGGCTGAAGCTCAGTCTGTTGTTACACTAAATAGAGGACTATTTGAACCTGATGCAGAGGCTGTCTCAAAAGTACTAGAAGCTTTAAGAAACAGTGAAGATAACCATATGGCGTTCTTTTTTATTCTTTAGACCAAGAAAATGACCAGTTACAAGTGGATATGCAAGACAATAGTGAAAGTGATGGTGAATTATTTGATGAACAATTACTGTCACATCTTGCCTCAAAATATATCTCTGATCGTGCATCAACTGTTCCAACAATCTCATCCCATATTCAACCAGAGGAAATTTCGTAGGACTTGCTTCGAGAATCTGTGAGGTCATCAAACAACAAACGGTGTATTGCATATGATACTGTCCTTTTTTGGTGCAGAAACAAGATAAAATATATGCTTACTCAAAACCCTGAAAACAAAGACCCAATGTATCTTTGTATCACCAGGGGTCCTGGATCCGGCAAAGGTCATTTGATAAAGACAATATATCACACAGCAGCAAAGACATTTAGACATGCAAGAGGCAATGCTAATCTGCCAACAGTTCTGTTGATGGCGCTAACAGGGGTTTCTGTCATAAACACGGGTGGAACAACAGTTAATACTGCTTTAGTTATTCCAAAAGAAACAGGCGATAACTTTCTTCCGATGTCTGATCAAAAGAAGACAGAGATAAGTGTTTCTCTGTCTGAAATGAAGCTTACTATAATAGATGAAATTTCGATGATTTCTAGCATCACACTGCTTGAAATACTTCAAAGGCTAGAGTACATTTTTGGTTCATCTGTCTCTCAACTGTTTGCAGGCTTAAGCACGAGATTTATTCCAGTTACCACCGATTGAGAGGAAACTTATTTTTGAAAGCTTTAAAAATGATTCTTACACGTTGTGCCACCCATGGCGTGTGTTCCAAATAAAAGAATGAATTGAGATCATGTGACAAAAAGATGATCCGAAGTTCACTGCGGTTTTAAACAGATTTAGAGCTGCTTTACAAACAGAAAAGGATATAAAGTGTATTAATACTCGGTTAATATCTGCATCACCTGACAATTACCCATCTGATGCTCTTCACATCTGGGCAGAAAATTGTCCTGTGAGTACAACAACAAAAATCTAGAATAGTTGTACTGAGAACCTCTGACTAGTACCTATAAAAATTTAATGTTACGAAATAGAACATTGACTGAGTATTGTTTAGAGGGGATATCAGTAACTGGTGGACTTGATTTTGAAGTTAAGATTAAAGAAGGTGCCAAAGTAATGCTTACTACAAACATCGATATCGGAGATAGAATTATTTAATGGCCAAATGGAAACTGTGGTTAAAATTTATCTTGACAGAATCACACAAAAATCAACAGTGGTATATACAAGTGTACGTTGCATTGAGTTGATCGACTTCACTTCAAGGGCTTCACATCATTCTCGGAGAAATCAACAAGAACTATGTCAAGGCAGATCCTAAAGTATATCAGGATTATGACAAATTAAGGAGTACATGTGTTAACCGAGAAAAAGAAATATCGGTGAATGAAAAAGTGGATGCTAATTCAGTTGTACAGTTATGTCTTCTCAACATACGTTCTCTTAGAAAAAAAGGCTGTGTTAGACACGATGTAAATCACTGAAAGAGCGATATCCTGGCATTCACCGATAAACAACTTTTACCAAGAGATGGTGACTCGGATATTTCTTGATTCCTCTTACCTCTTACCTGCATGATAATGATTCAGATAAATTTTCTAGTCTGGGAGTTTGCATCAAAAAGAATATTCGCACTGTGTATCAGAAACGTTCTCCTTCTTTGAATGTGCTAAAAATTTGGATTCTCGCGACAATAAGGAAGTAAAGCACAATGTTTCCTTTATTTTAATTTGTCGTAAAAATTACTTGAAAATTCAAGAATTTGTCAATGGCCTGAAGTATTTACTCAGAGCTCATACAGTTGATAAACTCCTTGAAGATTTCATCATCAACTATTTAAATAGCAAAGATAGAGAACCTCTAACATTGTCGATGGAGTCTTTGCATAAAAGGCCTACATTCATTTTTGGTAGTTTACTGGACCGCGTCCATAATAGACATGCACACCAGTCTTTTCTGACCATAATGCCATAGGAATAACTATACAAATACATGTATAAAACTTTGTAGAACTGTATACAGTTTGTGACATTTCATTAAAAAAAAACTTAACAATGAGATGAAGGGTGTGGTAGTAATGCATTCAGAAATTTGGCACAATAAAAACGAAATGTAATAACAAACTAGAAAAGGAACAATTTTATTGTCAATGGAATTTCCTTCCACTCAGTCTTATGAATATCTAAGACTGCACTCCGTAAAGAAAGCCTTGCAAACAGCTTTATAACAATCTGATAAAACATAAATTAATACTTCATCATAATAATTTTACAAGTTGGTTAAATTCTGTCGAGATCGATTGACAACCCGTATAAACACACTTTAATTTCGTGTACTTTCATTTGAGATATCACCCACTAAGACATGTAAGACATCTGTTATCATGTCTAAAAAAATGCCTAATTCACTGGTAGAAGGATACAGAAAGAATATTAGTTAGATGTACAAGCTGAGAGAAGAACGTTATCGTTTGGGTTAACTATTCTGCCAATCTACACTTTCAAATTGTCTGCTAGTATGGAATAATTTTTGCCTCTTTCCTTTCAGTGTGAAAGAAAAGAAACTCCAATGATACCTGCTAACCTTTAATAGCTTTAAATACCCAAGATGAAGAAAATGCAGAAAGTTTGCTTATCTCATCTGCCACAGACATGGAGAATGAGCCGTTGAATGTTGACAGTTCAATTGATGAGTCACATCTGCTGAACTGTGAGGAACAACACGATAACAATAAAGGTCATGTACCTTCTGACCAGGAAACAGCACACCTCAGTGAAAAACCCCAAATTACCACCACTAACCTCAAACCTGAACTTCTTTCTTCCACCCTGTCACTGAAAGTCCATGCAACAATCATACAACTCCAGAGACCACTGTGGATAAAATTCTACAATCTGCTGTTGCTACAGGATACGTTCACAATGTTTCACAGATTAAAAATGGAAAGTACTTTGATTTTCAATTACAGACGAAGCACAAGACTATCAGAGCTGTCTGCTTTTCTCCGCCAAAACGAAAGTATTTCAGTAAGTACAGTAAAAGCAATGTTCCAGTGGAATTAAGAAAGGTTAGAGTGGATACTAACAGAGATAATACAATATTATTCAAACATAGACTTTCCAAGAGTTGAAATACCAAGCAGTGTAACTTTGGCCACACTAAGCAGTGTTTGCGTTGGGCGGCTTGAAGCGAAAGTCCTTCACCTGTCCCCCATCAAATGTTTTACAGTCTGGAAAACTGAGAATAATTCAGGCACACCTTTTAGACCCTTCAGACACAACAAGAGTTGTGTTATGGCAATAGTTTTTGAGTGCAGTTGCAGAGGGAAATGCAAAAATATTTTCTGATTGACTCTGCAAAAACAAGGACTAAAATCACACCATCCGTTCCATTTACAGAAATCTTGCCAATCACGATAAAAAAACCGAATGAACATACATTTAACAGTATAACACTCACAGGAGAAATTTTGGGAGTTAACAAGGTGCAATTACCATATCAATTAAGAAAACCTTTTCTCCCCTTACATTCCACATAGCAGGCGTTGCATGTCACTCCTCAGGCAACCATGAATGAAAGCTGACCCTGACTCAAAAGTCTGCTCTGTTCCTTACGCTGTTTTTGGACTTGCTTTCATGTATTTTTTTAACTACTGCTTTGTAGTCAGTGTACAATCTATGATATTGCCACAATACTTTGGTTATCAAGGAAAAGCCCCTCTAATGAATAGTCTTATAATCCTTTAGATGTACAGGTATTTTGTTTACAGTCATACATACAGTCATACATACAGTTTCCTCTCAATAACTCTAACACGTAGTTTAGTTTGCAACACAAGCTAAATAATGGAAAAAAATTTTTTAGAAATTCAAATATATCTGAGCTACAGGGTTATTTAGTTATCTGTCATAATTTTCAGACATCAGACATCAATTACATTGTTCCGTTATTTAGTGACCCAAGGAAACACATTCAAATCTCAGTTGCGACTTGATTCAAGTAAAGAGTTGTTTGCACCAAAACAACTCAACCAAGGCCTCATTTTCCATTTCCCAGGGGCCCGTTGTCAAGCCTGCATTCAATGTCAACACTACTTCATTTTCCTTACTTTCCTAATGCGAAGGCTAACTTTCACAATTCAAACATTCCTGTTTCTTTCGAGCTCAGAGAGAAAATACGAGTTATTTGTATTTATCCATAGATGAAATTCTCGAAGTCCAACTCGAACTCGAACTTGGATCCAAACCCAAGCCTCACTACCGACGTAAACTTGACTAGTTTCTAAGTCTCACTTTGTAGTCTCTTCGAATGCGATCCAAACAAAGCACGACAGTTGACCCAGAAACCGACCAAAGTATCAACATAGATAGAATTTCATACTTCATACATTTACAACAAGGGAAGGAGACGTAAAAACAAACCAAATTATTGTGCCATTTTTAATTTCCATAGCATAACGTGAAGCCTAACCGGACAAACCGGAGAGGGTGACGGTCATTCACTTGTAATGAATACAGTACAGCTCAGAGATAGATGGCCAACGCACACGCAAAACCTACGCACATTTTTCGCGTTCAACGCAGTCAGCTTGCTCTGTCCTGCATTGTTTCGGAAAACAAAGGTTTTCTCTCTCTCAAAATGCCGCTGCCGAAGCGTCAAATCGACAGTTACATATCTCAACATCTAAGGGACCTAATGGCTGCTGTTTCAATGAAACGTTGAAACGACTTGTCACGATTCCACAGGATTTGTGAATAATTACTTTGATACCAGCCTGAGATCACGACAACTTCGTCTGAAGAATTTGAAATCACTGTGAAAGATGCGACTCGATCGAGAAGTTGGCTATATCAACTTTCGCCCATAGGTCTTGTTTACTTTTAATCGGCGCTAAAATATTTCTCAGTTTTCGTTTAAATAATTAAACTGTTTCCTATAATTCATTTCACGTTTGAGTGTCTTTGGCTCACGCGAACGCAGGTAAGTATCTATGGCCTTTCGAAAGTCACGCCTAATTAGCTCACGTTCAGATGAGTTTTGTCAGAAAATACTGGTAGACAAGCTCTCTAATCTTGTATATTTTTTCAGGATCCAACAGCTTCTTGTTTGATACTTGAGACGTTGTGACCATTAAGCTCAGATGGCTCGAACATATAACGTACCAGTAGAACTTATGTATTCACTAGTCTATTTATTTCAAACGCTGTGGAAAATTTGTCGGCGAGAGATCCAACACCCGAGACTGGCGGCTAAGTTTACGTTTTTCAATTCAAAATGCACGTTCGCATGATTCTAATTCAGAACTTGCAGCTATACATCCTTCCTTAAGCATCTCGTAGTTGCTCGAAACAAGAACACTCACAAGCTGTATGCTAAGTATTATTGTTTGTGTAAGTTATTCAGCTTGTGTAGTATATTATGAAACATTACTTACCCCATTGCTGGAGAACCTCCATTTCGATTTTGAAGTAGAGCCACTTACGTGTAAATTCTGAGTAGATATGGCTGCATCCACTGAATTGATGGCGTGAATCGAAAAATCTTTAATATACAGATTCGTTCCCTTATTTCCACGAAATTCAACAAGAGAGAAATTTGCATATGCTTTTCGTAACCAGTCAACGGATCGGCATTTTGTCTGCGCGTGCGCGAGATATTAAAAAACTTTGCATAGATTACGATAGAGCTCTATCTCAAAGTTTTATTGATACCGTATGAATTAAACAAGAACGTGAAAATGACGATTACTTATAATTATTTTCTTTTGAAAGGAAAATATAACGAAATTAGAAGAAACGCACAGCAGAGAGAATGCGTGGTCATTCCCAACAAAAGGAATACAAGTATAAACAGGATAGGCGGGTTAGTTTTCCAATATAAAGTGATTGGCCAGAATGAGCACCGAAATATAGAAGTAACAGGGAGAGAGATTGATAATGGCATAAAAAAAAAATGAGAAAGGAAAAAAAGCCTTAAGAAATGAGAGGTTGTTCTTCGAGGTTGCTTGGTTAACTGTAGGAACGATTACCACGCATTTGATTTGAACTTTCGGCATTCATATCCTAAGTCTTCAAAACTTTGCCGAATCGATTCGAAGTTCTTGTAGTGATCCTAGCTCAGTTCCCTGACCTTATATACCTCTATGTTTTAGAAAGTATTTTGCATTAGGGTTGAGTATTTAACACAATCTCAATACTTGATTCGTTTATTTCCAATACTTAGGGATTAAAATCTTGGCATTTTTCCAGGTATTATTCATCCAATTTCATTTCTCATTTGATAGTAATAAAAAGACAGCCCTTTATTCGTTTCAGTGAAAATGTGCTAATGTTATTGGTTCTGAACAGCCTACGTTCTCGGCCAGAAACTAATGGTCTGATTCTTCTAGGAATTATGCTCCACCTGGCACAATTGCGGCAAATATTTCGAAAAAGGTGCAATTATATTTCAATCGTTTTTCACGACGTTGCCGTCTGGCTCATTTAGGGTCCCCGAGGCATCAGTGATTACGTCACTCTTGTATTCGAGTTATATAAATTTTTCATTTTTGAACTTCGAAATCAACTTCCTTTCAGCATCGACTGGTTTTTATCATTTCGAAAACCCTGTAACTGTTTATTTTAATCATTGTCGGAACCGTTGGGCAACGGTCATCCTTTTGGAATATATTTACAGTCAAATCCTAAATTGTATCTGATATTCGTATTAATTTGTTCAAACAATCATGGTGGTTACAGAATATTTTTCATGTTACCTTTATTACTTCCATTACTTACATAAATGCAATGATGTGCATATTGTCATTAAATTTCAAAAATTGAAAGACAATGTAGAATTCCTTTGTTACTGTACTAGTGTCATCATTATCATCCTCATTTAGCTATACTTTCCCCCATTTTGCCGGAAAAAGCTACCCTCCATGGACATCTAAATTTGTAATTTTTATTTCTGTGAACTGTTTGATTTGGGTATCCTCTTTATCGCTACTTACTGCGACTTCAGCACAACAATATTATGCGAAAAGCGTTGAGGAATGCAGAAAGCTTTAAAACGCAAGTGCTGAGCTATTTATCAAGCTCCTTATTTTTTTAACCCCTCAGAGTAACTGACTTTTTATTTAACCTTAAAATATCACTGCTGAATCAGACATCAAGGTCACGAGGATAAAGAAAGTGATCACAAATTTAAGAGCTCTTGATCGCCGAACAAATTTTCTCTGTCAGTACCTTAAGAAATTTAAAAAGGAAAGTGCGGGGAATATGTTTACGTATGTTAGAATGAAAGGATTAATTATTTTATTTCGCCACTTTCTTGTTTCCATTGCTGTCGTAGTTTCTTTAAAGTCCATATAAACACATCATAGCTGAGAAAAGTCCAAATCATATGTATATCCCCTCAGAGCGATGCCGTGGTTTGGAGTTTGTAAGACTCCTGAGAGAAATCGTGGCCTTTGGCCTCTGGAGACTGATTCTTTAGATTGGGCGTGGTCAGGGTATCCCAACGCTGTTGACGAAAACGAATTAAATGCATGAATAAGTTAGATGATGTAAGAGATCACGAAAATAAATGATCCTCGCAGAAGTGTTGGAGTTTTAGCCATTGCAGGAAAATCCTAAAAAGATTCAGGCTCCGAAGGGACCCGTGTCTCCCGTATAATTGTTGGCCATTACTACGTACCAAGTGAGCAACGAAGCCATTCGTTGGGAGTGACGCAAATTCTATGGGATTCTTATTGTCCGTGAGGAATCTTCATTACAAGTCGATGTAAAAGATTGCTGTCAGCACTCACGACTAAGTATGTGTACGTATAGCGAGTAAAATTATTAGAAGATTCGTCATGGCATCGAAATATTTGGATCTCAACCAGTAAGTCAAGGCTACGTCTGTGGGGACGTAGAGTTGATCGTAAAAATGGCTAATTAACTCTGGGTTAAGGAGAGCTGGAGACACAAGTGTCTCGTCAATGAATACAATAACTGGCCCGAGCTGGAATGTTGACCGGTGTGGACTCTGCAACAAAGCCCGAGCCCTGACCTCAGCAACTTTCAAGTATAGCTGGTCGAATTATTGTGAGACAAGCATATTACTTCTCAATGAAAGCGTTAAGGTTCCTCCAATATATGCAAGACATGTACACTATGCCTTGCTTACATTGGGGATAAAATATACAGACCCATAATTTTATGATTGTACTTGGTGTGTACAAAAGAAAATGAGGAGTCTTAGTGAGAATTGAAACGTTTTCATCTAAAACTGATGAAAATCAACTGCCGACGTTTCAATCACAAGTTTTTCATTCGCACATCGTATTTGAGGTTAGAACATTTCTTTTACAAACATGGTATCAACAACACATTCTCCCGTTAAAAGTTAGCGAACACTGATGTGGTAGTTACCTCTCCCAGAGAGCCTGGTGTTGTGGCCAACTTGTATATCATCACAATTGGAATGCACACGATTGAAGACAAAGCCATGATCCAGCCTACGGTTTCTCCCCAGTCAGGATACTTGTAACCGTTGTATTCTAGAGGCGAGTACGTCACTAGACTAAAAATGAAAACACCCTGTGGACAAAAAAGATAGAATCCTTAAGGTGGCTCGAAATAATTTTCCTATCTTTTTTATTTAGCTACTCTCTGATGGACTGTAGCTTCAACGCTTTTACTTTCATTTCCCTGAAACTCATATCAAAAAAATGTTTCATTATTTCTCAACAATTTGTGATCATTTTTCAACTAATTAAGGTTACCATAACAACGCTGCCACCCCTTTGAAAACCCCCTCCTGTTCTGTTTTTTCTACCTCTAACACAAAACGAGTGGGGTTATTCCCATTTCTATTACTGAACTGCGATCAACATATAAAATGTGTCTTTCTACGAAACTCTTAAAAGGAACGTACATACAATTTAAAATGGCTCTAAACCGTATGGAAAGATTTTTGCAAACTTGGCAAAGAAAAAGATCATCATTCAAGCAATCAAAATATCAAGAAGCGCTGTGAATGGAATTGTTACAAAAGAAGACATGCACTTAATTTTCCTAGATTAAGATTTCCATTCTGGCCAAGGCTCAAGCCAGACTCTCTTTACCCAGATGCCAATGTGTTAAACGTCACGGCAAATTAACATGTATCTAATAAAGTCATTGCCTTTCCCCCTCTCTATTACGTTTCTTAATGAAACTGAGAATGAATTCTGAGACTGATAAGTAAATATTTTGTCCTACCAAACAGAAAATAGGTGTGAATATCATCCAGCACCACCTGAGCCACGGGTTGACACGAAATCCGATCATATTCTCCATATCGTCATAGAAACGTTCACCACCTGTCGGAAAACCGATAGAATTGGATCGGTTTATACAAGATACCAAGACAACGGAAACGCGCACATTATTAAAGGAAACGTGGACTGTGGAATCGCACTGCCCCCTAACTTATCGTAACTTTCACTGGAGGTTAAAACTCCTTGAGACGGTTGGTAAAAGCATATTCTGTATCCCAACGTTTTTAAAAAGACCACTTTTAGTCAATTCAGGCGTATAAACAGAACCTCCGTCCACACTCTTGGTTGCAACTATTATATTCTTACCGTAGATCCAACCAATGGCAATACTTTGGAACAAGGCGATCCACAAAAGAGCAGAGCCACTGGCCGAGTAATTGTCAAATAGTTGAAAGACGTACATCCCACCCTAAAAATTAAAGAAAAACATTAACATTAACGAAAATCACGGGCTAAAATTCCACAAAGGTATGAATAGAAGTGAATATGACATTATAACCTGTCATATGATCAAGCTCGCTGACGCTTTCTCCGTTGCTCGTCTGGTTGTGAAATTACTGAGAAATCGACACAGGCTCGATTGGAATCCTCACAGGGCCCTGAGATTTTATTTCTTTATAATATCAACCTTCTAACCTTTAAAGTCGTTTTCTACGCTAAAGCATGGAGAAACGCTTGTATTTACGCTAAAAGAGAGGTCTTGCTGCTATTCTACCACAATAGCGTTGTTTTAAGGATTAGAGGAAAGTTAAATATGTAAAATCAGAGCTTATATCTGTTTTTGCCGATTGCAGTTGTGGTGTCGTTTAAAATCGCACTTTTCTTTGTTGCATGTAAGAGACATATGCTCAATATTTTTTTAATCGTATGTAATTGTATAAAAATAGATATCCCTTTAAAACTAGGGCAAATGTCGTTGTAAAACATATTCCATTCCTGCAGAGAAATACTTCGTAAGTTCGCCCTTCTACAGAAAATCATTTGCTTTTACGTTCTATGATCTTTTATTTTTTCGTTTTTTTGGCAAATTATCAATCTCATGAGAGAATTTTAAATGAAATAAAAACTCTGTGGAGGCTTTTGATCGGGGTTTCATTAACCAGGAATTTGATATAAAAAGTAGAGCTGCTTTTCAAAAGAGTTTGTTCAGGCCCTCATTAAGGACCTTAAGCAGCCAGGATGGAAAAGGCGAGGAAGACATTGTTGAATTAAGAAACTAAATCTTATTTTTGGTAAGAATTTCACGAATGACCGGACGTGTTTACCATCTCTTACGTTGCCACACCTCAACTTACGCTTAACGCATGTGAGCATAGTTGAGTTCAACATGGAAACATAAATGACCTGCCGTCGGAGTTTTTCCCTCAAATTTTGGCGATTTCGCGGTGTTATTTTGCGCTCTCGTTGCTATTGTCGTGGTTTGCTTAAGCTCCCTATTATTAGAGACCTTTAGCAGTTACGACGGCAACGCCCAAGAAGTCGATTTAAAAAAGAATTTATATTTGTTGTCGGAATTTCGCAAATTAGTGGATATGATTAACATCCCTAACAGTACCGCAAGTTAACCTCAGCATAGCTACGAGAACAGCGTTGAGTTCCAAATGGAAACTTAGATAATTTGCCGTCGAGGTTTCCTTTCTCGGATCACGCAAATTTTGATGATTTCACGTTGATATTTTGAAGAGGACGGCTAAGAAATGTACACACTTTGAAAACACACGAGCTGAGCTATTGTTCTGCTCATTAGATCTTTTGTTTTGCCACTTCCTCATTGTCGTCGCCGTTGTGGTCTGCTAAAGGTCCCTTCTATTAGTGCTCGGCACGAGAGTTTCTTCACCAGCGGAAAAGTAAGAGGCTTTGAGAAACGCAAACCAGCAAGAAGTGTGCAGTGAGTGTAAGTCTCATTATTAGTGCCACTGAGATCCCCGGCACCGATCCCACAGGTAAACCTCTTGCCGACTCGACTCAAATCTTTTCGCAGGCGGAGAAACACACTTCCTGCAGGGCTCATCATTAGGGCCTGCTTGTAACCTAGTTCCTGAAAGTTATAACACAAGATCTTTACATTTTTCTTTTATGCTTTTGAAGGTACCTTAGTAACCATGGACAGACCAATGAGAAACCAGATACAGCACATAGATGCGATGAACATCTCTTTACGATAACCACGCCTCAAGTGTCTGGGGAACAGGTCCACAATGGCTGTTACAAATCCCTCAATGCCCACAAACTTGAAAAAAGACAAAAATTAGAGGTCATCATCATAATATGCCCCTTCATGTTTTCTGCAATGTTTATGCACATACTTGTAAAACACACAAGATATCCAGTTCAAAGTTTGATAAATTGCAAATTCACTCTAGTACCTCGCTGTCGAGTCCCAGCAAGAAGACCATAAAGAAAAACAGAACCGACCATAGAGGGGCCAAAGGCATCTGAGCAACGGCTTCTGGGTAAGCGATGAATGCAAGTCCTGGACCTAGGGAGGAGGCGATGTGATGAGTTAAAGACTAGTAAGGGGGGGTTGGAGGATTTGAGAGGGAATCTCATGGTTTTCAGGGGAAACGGAGGGATTACTCGCCACCAACATAGTATAGACAGGGGACTTAAGAAAATTTGATTTTCGATGAACTGCCAACGAGGGGGGATAATATGTATATTACAGAGCCCGAGGGATCAGGTAAATTTTATCGTGACATAACCAATATCTTCTGAATGAGGCAACAAGTAAGATCTTAAACGGCTGTGAAAGTTATACATTTGAACTGCGGATAAAGACGTGAATATGAGAGCGATCTTCACAGTCGTTTATTCACCACTTCACGGGTTTATTTGGAACCAACACAGTGACCATCTCCCAGTTGGCTTGTTCGCTCAGTTGGTAGAGCACTGCACCAGTGTCGCAGAGGTCATGGGTTCAAATCCCGTACAGGCCTGAATTTTTTTCAGGCCTTTTTTTCACTACTGCTTAAGTAGTGCTCCGCTGTGAAGATCGCTTTCATATTCAAGTAAGATCTTCTCAAACTTTGTTTGAGAAGATACAACTTAATGAACTAATAAACATATGCGAGATTGGAGCGAGTTTTCTGTTTTCGAGTTTTCTCTACCGTCTTCTCTTACCCCCCTTTGCCACGTCCTTTACTTCAACCCCTTGCTTCTGAGCCATGAAGCCAAGAACTGAGAAAATCACAAAACCGCCGTAGAAACTTGTTCCACTGTTTACACAAGCGAATATTATGCTGTCCCTGTGCGAGAAATAGCATTAATTGTTAAGTTAAATGTTTAACACAAATCTTCGCTAAATAAGCAAGAAATCCAAGCTTGCACTTCTGCTTTTTATTTATTCAGAATTTAATTTTATAGAGCAGTTTTCAATTGAGAGCCGGAAACCAAAACCCAAGTAATCACAGAAACCAATCAGAACAAGGGTGGAATCACCATGGACCAACGGGAACTCAAAATAAAATCAGGCACCCTGCGTAAAGCGCGGGAAAACGCCAGTAAACAAGTTGAGATTGGCTTTAGTTTTGCATTTAATTGACCGAGGTGGTGGCGAGAGTTTTTAGATCAATTACGGGGAAAAGTTAAGAAGACTTGTGCAAAGCAATCTACGATCAGCTGAAAACCGCGCTATCGCTAAATACTCAGTACCTGGGTTTTAATTAGATACAGGTTTTAAATAGATACAGGTGTTCGACCTCTTTGACTCTTCATTATAAAATCCTATCAATGATGTCACCGTGTTATTAAATTGGATTCTCCAAGGCAGCTTCGAGTTTTAAAAACGTGAGCAAATTTGCTGATTGAAAGCTCAGTTTCGCTATATGTAGTCCCATAGAAACGAAGCCATAATATCTCAGCTAGAACTGTGGAAAGGTTATCGAAACGTCACCAAGTAGACAAGAGGCGACACTCTTGGCAAAGAAACCAAGCAGATTTTCTTGTGTTTTCTAACCTGTAACAGTTGTGATGGAATCTGTTGTAACTCCCGAGGGCAATCAACGTTCCAAGTCCAATAGAATATGAAAAAAACACTTGCGTTCCAGCATCAAGCCACACCTTCGAGTTTGAACAAAAACTAAGTGTAAATAATTGACCAGGTGTAAACTTTAATTTAAAGGTAGGTCTCAATGGGGTAATAGCTTTTACGGCTAACAGTTAAAATTTTGGCCCATTAATAGCTAACAGTCAATCTTTTTCCAGTTGCGATTAAAAATAATGTTCACGGTTAACATTTTTTACGAATAACGGTCTAAAATTGTATATTTTTACGCCTAACCCATTGAGACCCTCTTAAAGCTTAGAGTTCATAAATAATTAAAAAAATTTTTTTTTTTTGAATTGGCCCATTCAATTTCAGTTTTTAAAATTTCTTTATCACTTCTCACCTGACCGTCAGCCAGTCGAGTAAAATTTGGAGTGAGGTAAAACTTGATCCCTTCAGCAGCGCCAGGTAAAGTGACGGCTCGAACGAGTAAAATCGTCAAAAGTACATAAGGAAATGTGGCAGTGAAGTAGACAACCTGTGAAAGATATCATTCATGTAATGATGTGTTCCTTTCCCTGTCCGTATGTTTGCTTGATGTTGTTGCTGTTTTTTCTTTTTTTATAATTGTGCCGTTAATGTTAGCTAGTTATATTGGCCAATATTGTTGTCTCTACAATAAATGGTTTAAACCCAGATGTAACATTTGAACGTGTGGTTTAATCGTCTTGGTGAGGGTAGTCCCGAGAAAGACTCTTGTCGGTAGAAGTGACCGACGTTTCGACAACCTAAGCGGAAGTCATCATCAGAATCAAGTGATGAGTATTTGTCAGTCGAGTGGTAATAAGTCCTGCTCGTGTAAGCTGATTGGTCAGTTTAGCCGTGATTTATCGGCAATAAGACTCGAATGGCGTAATAGATCACGACTGGTCAGTTTGGATCCGTTGGTAATGTTGTCGTTCTGTTCGGTTCGCCGGTTTATGGTGTAAATGTTGTGGATAAGTCGTTGGTATTGTGTCAATGGATGTTAACACCTGCTATCTATTAACAAAAGAGTTACGCAGTTAAATCGAACCCTGAGAAAGAGAACTAACGAATTGAGGGTCGCACATAATCTAGATTGCACTGGTTTAATTTCAATGTGCTAATCAATTTTTATTTTTATTTCGGTTTTCATTTTACGATATATCATTCGAAAAATGGTTTAACCAAACTAACCTTAAAATGAAACATCTTTCTCTACCTATTCTGTTTACTAATACGAAGCTGTCGATATTGCTAATCCTAGCCGTAAACAGGGCGCGTATCAAGTGAACTGTAATGGCGTAGCTCGCCATAAAGTTCCCCGAAGATCAGAGGATGAGTATCAGAATGCGTAGGTCTGAGTTTCGATTCATCATACGTTAAGTGATGATGGCGGCTTACTTCCTGACGCCTATTTACACCTCGTCAATTAGTCAGCTAGTGATCATATAAAAGGACCTATTGTTACAGCGTTTAGATCACCCCTGATGAAGGCACTAGACAGGAGTGTCGAAACGTTGGGTCTATGTATTGTAACTTCTTCGGTTGCATTCACTGAATCTGTAAACCAGAGTAGCATCAAACCATGTCTGAACTAAATTCTATCTATGAGAGGCAACCTAAGAGAGCAAGAAAATTAAAAATGTTAAGATTACGGCTCCCTCACCTTTCCTGTGGATTTGACACCTTTGAAAACACAGAGGTAACAGATTATCCAAGCCAACAAGAGACACAAAGCTACATCCCAGTTTACGATACCGGGTTCATCCAAAGCAGTGCTCAGCTTTAAAACTCTATGTCTAGAAAGAGAGGTAAGTAGTGTAATTGGAAATCATCTCGGTACTCGGTTGACTTATGAACTTGCCTACTAGATATATTTGTTAAATTGTTCAAATTGTTAACAGCCTGCATAAAAATAATAATAGTTTTCTTCCCTGTCCTAATGAATGACCGACTGACTGACTGACTGACCAACTCACCCACCGGCTGACTAATCGACTGACCGACTGACTAACCCACTGACCAACTGACCAACTGACCAACAGACTCACTGAACAACTGACCAACTAGTTGACTGACTGACTGACTGACCGCCTAACTGACAAACTGACTGACCGGCTGGTTGGCTAACTGACCGACTGACCAACTGACCGTCTGACCAACTGACTGACTGGCTGACTGACTGACTAACCACCTGACCGGCTGACTGACAGACCAAATAACCGACTGACTGACTGACTAACCCTCTAACTCACCGACCCGCTGATTTACTAAATGAATGACTAACCGACTCACCAACTGCCCGATAATCAAGAGCTTCCTTAGTTTGTGATCAATTTTTAGTTCTCGTGACCTTAATGTTTGAGTCAGGGGTGATAAGTCACTCTTAAAGGTCAAAGGCTTAATACTTAACTACTTTACAGCTTCACTTACTCAAAATACTCCTCGCTCGCAGACACTTTAGCTGCCTTTGCCACTGCAGTTGGCATTGTTGACATGTTCGACATGTTCGCCATTACGGTTGGTATGAGTGTGGTATTGGCTATACTAGAGCCTTTTTTATATGTGATATAGTCAACACAATTCGGTGTGTTCCATTCATTGCCACAGCGAGACCAAGGAAGCTCGGATTGGAAAGACGCGAACATGTAAAACAGAGCCCAGCCGAGGATGACGATGTAATATATGTTTAAAAACTGAACGATGATAACACTTGCCCATCCAATGCCTGCAATGAAATCGAATTTCAAATGTTTATATATATATATTATATATATATATATATATATATATATATATATATGTGCGTGTGTGTGTATATATAAAAGATATCATGGTTTCAAATCCTTTACAGGTCTGAATTTTTTTCATTCCTTACTTTCACTACTGCGTACGCAGTTTTCATTACTGATAGGATCACTTTCATATTCATTTCTTTAACCGCTGTTCACATATATGATTTTCATATATTCGCAGTCATTGATTTATCACTTCACGGGTTTATTAAGAACCAACATAATGACCAGCTCCCAGTTGGCTTGTTAACTCAGTTGGAAGATTATTGTACTGGTATTGCAGAGGCCATGGGTTCAAATCCCGTACAGGCCTTAAATTTTTTTTCAGGCCTTATTTTCACTACTGCTTTAGTAGTATTCATTACTGCGAAGATCGTTTTCATATTTATATTTCACTAGTGAAAAGGATCATCATCTCGCCGACAAAAAGCAGCAGAAGGTAAAAGAAAATGCTTAATTGTAGGTATATCTTGTTATTATGACAATGAAAGCCCATGAAAGCCATTTCGCATTAAACTCTCTGTTAAACAGAGTGGAACAGCTGGTGTGAACGAACGGCGGAAGATTGTCGAGGCTCGGTGTAATGTAATACAACAATAAAATATCAACTGACAATATTCTCTTGAGTACAGCTTGGAAATCATTAATCGAGGTAATCTTCTTACTTGGCGCTAGCAAGATGTCGGCACTAAGTTACAAGGTAAAAGGTATTTAAAATGTTACATCAACCATTTTTACTTCTCTTCCCTTGAATTGCTATTGATGTAACCTGTTTTCACGTTATTTAATGGTCACCTATTAGTAATACTTCGCTCTTTTAAACAATTATGGTTAATGGGGGCTGATGCTCGAAACGTTAGAATCTCTGTTCCTTAAAATCTATTTACAGTGGCCATTTTTCCTTATTAACTCAGCTGATAGGACCAAATTATATCGTGATTCCCCCCCCCCCCCAACTTACCGACACAGCACCACAGTTTCCTTTAAAACCTTACACTCTTTATTCATTATCATTAGCAGAGTTACGAGAAAAATTATAATCATGATTTCTTGATCATCGTTTGCCACACCCAATGGAACAAAAACTAGCGTTAAAACCGAATTATTACATAGCTTTTAGCTGATTAAAACAGACCTTGAAAAAGTGGACATATCAGCCATGCTGTAATTCCACCTTGACTTGCAAACTGTCCCAGACAAACTTCCAGGATCAGAACAGGGACACCAGCAAAAACGAGGCAAATTAGGTACGGGATCAGAAAACATCCTACATGAGGTACCCGGTAACACATGAAAACAAAACAAAAATGTGGATAATGAATCAAGAACGAATCACAACTCAATGGAAAACACATCAGCCAGAGAATTTCTTTGTCAAGTGCACCTCTTAACGAAAACCTGTTCATTGCGTTTGAATCAGCAAATAATGTTTCATTGTAAAGAAAAACTTGCTGTTTATAATTCTCAAATAATATACACTGGTTAGGTTCGTTGACAAGGCAATTTTTTTTTCATAAAACAACGATAAATCGCTCGAGGTAAAAGACCATCAAAACCAAAGGAAAGTGAAATATATTCAGATAGAGCTGGAACAATTACATCTTGACTATTTCAAAGTGGAAGCAGTGTAGAGTGGTCTAGGAATGGTTTCAGTTAAAATCTACATATTTGTATTTTTCCATGTATGCAAAACCTTTTCGATTTCTGATCCTGACAACAAAAAGAAAAGTTTTCAAGCTTATAGAGGGAGGGTGATTAATAATGTACTAAAACAATAGCCCTCAAGCCATTGCTAAAGTTTCAAAGACGTCACTGTTTGACATAAGTATTGGCTCTATTGCAGTCTACGGTTGTTCGATCGCGCCAAAAGTTATACTCTAGTCACAGAAATGTGTTTGTTGCTCTCAGCAAAACAAATTTTTTTAAATTCAGTGTCAGGTACATCATAAGGCATCTACTTAAAGTTCTCAAATGTAATTAAATAAAGTTTTCAGCCGAGTGTTGAGGCACGAGGTGAATGGAGCCGTTCAGAACAAGTTTGACCGATGGGATTACTCGCTTGCTCACTTGGTCTCAGCAATACAGAAAGAAACAGTTTTCAGATCCATTGTTAAGCACATCACGAGGCCACTAGGTAAAATTTTCAAATCTAATCAAATAAAATTTATGGCCGTGGGCTTGTGAGACACGTGTATGGCCTTAACGTGAGTGACACACGGACGGAGCCTTCTCAGTATAATGTGGTGAATCGATGTCAAAACAAGGTTGACCAAAGATATATTTTACGAACTGTAAATTGTTTTTCAAGCTGGCTATGCTACAGAATACCCTGCCACTCATTTAAATGTCACTGAATAAGAATAACGTTTATTGTGTTCTGCCTCGATCTTGGAAGCGTCCCGACGCATATAAATGAAGTGGACCAAAGTGGCAAGGTATTCTGCAGTTGCTCCTTCCGCTTTAATCGAACATACTCAAATGGAAACGAATAAAGTTTCGCCAGATTATCAAAAGCACCAGCACTTACATAATACAAGTAAATTTACAGTAATCATCATCAACCATCCTGACGCCATCTACACTCACCTCCACCATTTTTATAGCAAAGGTACGGGAAGCGCCAAATGTTTCCCAGTCCAACAGAGAACCCTACAAGCGCAAGAACAAAGTCGATCGTCTTGCCCCAAGTTTCCCGCCTATTAACTTTATTGTCCATTGATAACGGGCAGTGGTTCAACTCAACTGTGTGCCGTTGAAAAACTATTTCATAACGAGTGTGTGCGCTTCACATTTCCATCTTATTTCCATATACATAAATCATGCTTTGAGTGACAGATGTCCATAAGAATTAGAAATGAGGTTTTCTATTTTAACTATTTTCTTTTTTGGTAAGTCGACCTATCAAGTGCTTGTGAGAGCTGATTACGTGTATGAGTTTATCTTAGCTTTGAGAAGCAAAAAATCTCACGATTAACGTGTTTGTTGTGGTTTTCGAAAAGTTTTTTTTTCGTTGAATATGATAATTATTTTTTTTTCTCTGGTTTGAATAGTTTTAAACGATTTTCAAACGATAAATATTAGTAAGCTCGAGCCTGAAGTAGCTGTAGTCATGTTAAAATAACGTTTAGCTCTATTTATTATCGGAGAACAAAAACAAGGAGTGGTCGTATCCAAGAACAAGTGACAATAGTGCACAAAAAAAATACTAAATGCTAAGGGAATTTACTTTAAAACTTAGGAAGAAAAGTTTTACACTCATTTAAAGTAGGTAATAAAACATGTGTCTAATTCATTTCCACTAACGGACAAATGATACTTACATGATCAAGTTAAACAAGCAGTATCATAAGTATGGACTTTGGCATCTAAGCCATTATTTTCTTACCTAAAAACACTCTGCTCTCGCTTTATGTTGTTTATTTATCTCTCTCGATTAGGATTATCATGTAAAATAGCGCTTCGTGAGTAGCCGTCATCTGCAACTTTCCCCTCTGTAACTTTGTCATGTTTTAATTGCCGTGTTATGGTGCAGTTATCTGATACACAAACTGTGCCTTTTAGAACCTGAGAGGTTAAAAGAAACCTTTTAAATACAACTCTGACTTAAAGTGCAAGACAGGCGAGATGTTAAGCGTTACGAAATTTGACGGTCTTGCAAGTCAACAACAGCTAGTACTAGTAAGCAACAGCAGGTAATCTTTCTCGAGAGTGAACTAAAAAAAATTACGTCATAAATCGAGAACAAAGCTGTATTAAAAACCCACGAACTAAAGCAAACTATGTCAGTGCTTTTTTTTAACAGCGAATGTTGATTCGTTTCCTTATTTCCAGGCAATCCAACATTAGAGAAATTTGCTTATGTCTTTCGTAACCAGTCAGCTGCGCGAGGTATTTTGCATAGATTCCAATAGAGCTATATCTCAAAGTTATATTGATACATGAATTAGACAAGAACGTGAAAATGACGATTATTTATTATTAGTCTTTTTTGAAGGGAAAATAAAACGAAATTAGAAGAAACGCACAGCAGAGAGAATGCATGGTCATTCCCAACGAAAGGGATGCAACTATGAACAGAACGCAGCTCTTCCCCTTTTCAGGCTGAAAAATAAATATGCGGGATAGGCGGGTTAGTTTTCAATTATCAAGTGATCGGCCAAAATGAGCACGGAAATAAAGAAGTACCACGAAGAAAGATTGATAATAGCAGAAATAGAACTGAGAACAGAAAAAAGGTCTTTAATTATGGAATGCTTTTCGAGTTTGTTTGTATACCTGTAATATAGATTAATTACCAAGCCTTTGATCAGAACTTTCAGCATTCAATCCCTAAATCTTCAAAACTTTGCTGAACCGATCCGGATGCCTTGTAGTGATCCTAGCTCTCCAGTTCCCTGACCTTATGTACCTCTACGCTTTAGAAAGCATTTAGCATTTGGGTTTAGTATTAAACACAATCCCAATACTTGATTCGACTATTTCCAATACTTAAAGATCAAAATTTTGGAATTATCCTGGTATTATTCATCCGATGTCATTTTTCATTTGATATTAATAAAAAGACAGCCCTTTATTCGTTTCAGTAAAAATGTACGAATGTTATTGGTCCTTAACAGCCAACGTTCTCGGCCAGAAACTAGTCGTCTGATTCTCCACCTGGCACAATTGCAATAAAAATTACAGATGTAGGTGTTGATGGAGGGTTGCTTTTTTTCATAAAAATGGGGAAAGGATAGCTAACTTTCTGGTTTCCATTACTGTTGTGGTTTCCTTAAAGTCCCTATAAACACGTTATAGCTGAGAAAAGTCCAAGTCATATGTATATCCCCTCAAAGCGATGTCGTGGTTTGGAGTTTGTAAGACCCCTGAGGGAAATCGTGGCCTTTGGCCTCTGGAGACTGATTCTTTAGACTGGGCGTGGTCAGGGTATCCCAACGCTGTTGACGAAAATGAAAGAAATGCATGAATAAGTTAGATGGTGTAAGAGATCATGAAAAGAAATGATCCTAGAAGAAGTGTTGGAGTTTTAGCCATTGCAGGATAAGCCTAAAAAGATTCAGGCTCCGAAGGGACCCGTGTCTCCCAGATAATTGTTGGTCACCACCATGTACCAACTGAGCAACGAAGCCATTGGTTGGGGGTGACGCAAATTCTATAGGATTCTTATTTTCCGTGAGGAATTTTCATTACAACAAGATGTCAAAGATTGCTTTCATCACTCGCGACTAAGTATGTGTACGTATAGCGAGTAAAATTATTAGAAGACTTGTCATGTCATCGAAATACTTGGATCTCAACCAGTAAGTCAAGGCTACGGCTGTGGGAACGTAGTGTTGATCGTAAAAATGGCTAATTAATTCTTGGTTAAGGAGAGCTGGATACACAAGTGTCTCGTCAATGAATACAATAACTGACCAGAGCTGGAATGCTGACCGGTGTGGACTCTGCAACAAAGCCCGAGCCCTGACCTCAGCAACTTTCGAGTATAGCCGGTCGAATTATTGTGAGACGAGCACAATACTTCTCAATGCAACCGTTGAGGTTCCTCCAATATATGCAAGACATATTCACAATGCCTTGCTTACATTGGGGATAAAATATACAGACGCATAATATTATGATTGTACTTGGTGTGTACAAAGGAAAATGAGGAGTCTTAGTGACAATTGAAACGTTTTCATCTAAAACTCATGTAAGTCAACTTCCGGCGTTTCAATCACTAGTTTTTCAGTCACGCATGGTATTTGAGGTTGACACATTTCTTTTTCAAACATGTTTCTCATTCTCCCCTTAAAGGTTAGTGAACACTAATGTGGTAGTTACCTCTCTAAGAGAGCCTGGTGTTGTGGCCAACTTGTATATCATCACAATTGGAATGCACACGATTGAAGACAGAGCCATGATCCAGCCTATGGTTTCTCCCCAGTCAGGGTACTTGTAACCGTTGTATTCTAGAGGCGAATACGTCACTAGACTAAAAATGAAAACACCCTATGGACAAAAAAGATAAAATCCTTAAGGTGGCTCGAAATAATTTTGTTATCATTTTTTATTCAGCTACTCTTTGATAGACTGTAGCTTCAACGGTTTTTCTTTTCATTTCCCTGAAAGTCATATAAAAAAATGTTTAATTATTTCTCAACAATTTGTGATAATTTCTCAACTAATTCAGGTTACCATAACAACACTGCCACCCTTTTGAAAACCCTTACTGTTCTGCTTTATGTACCTCCAACACAAAACGAGTGGGGTGACTCCCATTTCTATCACTGAACTGCGATCAGCATATAGAAATGTGTCTTTAAAACTCTTAAAAGGAACGTACATACAATTTCGTCTACGATTAACAATGGCTATAAACCGTGTACACAGATTTTTTGCAAACTTGGCGAAGAGAAAGATCGACATTCAAGCAATAAAGAAATCAAGAAACGCTATGGAATGGAATTGTTACAAAAGAAGACATGCACTTAATTTTCTTAGATTAAGATTTCCATTCTGGCCAAGGCTTAACAGAGACCCTCTTGACCCAGATGCCAATGTGTTAAACGTCACGGTAAATTAACATGTATCTAATAACGTCATTGCCTTCCCCCCTCTCTATTACGTTTAATAATGAAACTGAGAATGAATTCTGAGACTGATAAATAAATATTCTGTCTTACCAAACAGAAAATAGGTGTGAATATCATCCAGCACCACCTGAGCCACGGGTTAATACGAAATCCAATCATATTCTCCATATCGTCGTAAAAACGTTCACCACCTATCGGAAAACCAATCGAATTGGGTCGGTTCACACGAGATACTGAGACAATGGAAAACGCGCGCATGATCGAAGGAAACGTGGACTGTGGAATCGCACTGCCCCCTAACTTATCGTAACGTTCATTGGAGGTTAAAACTCCTTTGGACGGTTGGTTAAAGCATATTCTGTAATCAAACGTTTTAATAAAGATCACTTTTAGTCAATTCAGGCGTATAAATAGAACCTCCGTCCACACTTTTGGTTGTAACTGTTATCTTCTTACCGTAGATCCAACCAATGGCAATACTTTGAAACAAGGCGATCCACAAAAGAGCAGAGCCACTGGCCGAGTAATTGTCAAATAGTTGAAAGACGTACATCCCACCCTGAAAAATAAAGAAAAACATCAACATTTAACGAAAATCACGGGTTGCAATTCTACTAGTAGAAGTGAATATGACATTATAACCTATCATATGATCAAGCTCGCGGAGGCTTTCTCCGCTGCTCGTCTGATCGTGAAATTACTGAGAAATCGACACAGGCTCGATCGGAATCCTCACACGGCCCTGAGATTTTATTTCGTTATAATAGTAACCTTCTAACCTATTTTTGAAGTCGTTTTCTATGATGAAACAAGGAGAAACGTTGGCATGTAGGCTAAAAAGAGAGGTCTTACTGCTGTTCTACCACAATAGCGTTGTTTTAGGATTAGAGGAAAGTTAAATATGTAAAACCAGAGCTTATATCTGTTTTTGCCGATTGCGGTTGTTTTGTCATGTTTAAAATAGCACTTTGCTTTGTTCTAAGTAAGATACATATGCTCAATATTTTCTTAATCGTATGTAACTATATAAAATACATATCCCTTTAAAACTAAGGCAAATGTCGTCGAAAAACATATTCCGCATTCCTACAAAGAAATACTTCGTAAGTTAGCGCTTCTACAGAAAAATTACTTGCTTTTACGTTCTATGATCTTTTATTATTTTTTTTTTTGGCAAATTATCAATTTCATGAGAGAATATTAAATGAATTAAAAACTCTGTGGAGGCTTTTGATCGGGGTTTCATTAACCAGGAATTTGATATAAAAAAAGTAGAGTTACTTTTCAGAAGAGCTTGTTCAGGCCCTCATTAAGGACCTTAAGCAGTCAGGATGGGAAAGCCGAGGAAGACGTGAATTAAATTAAGAAAACTAATTCTTATTTTTGGTAAGAGTTTCTCGAATGACTAGACGTGTTTACCATCTCTTACGTTGCCACACCTCAACTTACGCTTAACGCATGTGAGCATGGTTGAGTTCAAATTGGAAACATAACTGATCTACCGTCAGAGTTTCCGTTCTTATTTCACGCAAATTTTGGTGATTTCGAGGTGTTGGTTTGCGTCCTCATTGCCGTCGTCGTGGTTTGCTTAAGCTCCCAATTATTAGGGATTTTTTGCAGTTACGACGGCAACGCCAAAGAAGACGCGCACGTTGATTTAAAAATGAATGTATATTTTTAGCTGGAATTTCGCGAATGAGTGGATATGATTAACATCCCTTACAGTGCCGCAAGTTAACCTCAGTATAGCATACGAGAACAGCGTTGAGTTCCAAATAGAAACTTAGATAATTTGCCGGCGAAGTTTCATTTCTCGGACCACGAAAATTTTGATGATTTCGCGTTGCCATTTTGCAAAGGACGGCTAAGAAATGCACACACTTTGAAAACGCACGAGCTGCGCTATTGTTCTGCTCATTAGATCTTTTGTTTTGCCACTTCCTCGTTGTCATCGCCGTCGTGGTTTGCTAAAGGTCCCTTACTATTAGAGCTCGGCACGAGAGTTTCTTCGCCTGCGGAAAAGTAAGAGGCTTTGAGAAACGCAAACCGGCAAGAAGTGTGCAGTGAGTGTAGGTCTCATATTAGTGCCACTCAGATCCCCGGTACCGATCCCAGAGGCAAACCTCTCGTCGACTCGACTCAAATCTTTTCGTAGGCGGAGAAACACGCGTCCTGTAGGGCTCATAATAAGGGCCTGCATGTAACCTAGTTCCAGAAAGTTCTAACACAAGATCTTTGCGTTTATCATTTATGCTTTTGAAGGTACCTTAGTAACCATGGACAGACCAATGAGAAACCAGATACAGCACATAAATGCGATGAACATCTCTTTACGATAACCACGCCTTAAGTGTCTGGGGAACAGGTCTACGATGGCTGTTACAAATCCCTCAATGCCTACAAACTTGGAATAAGACAAAAATTAGAGGTTATTATCATAATATGCGCCTTCATGTTTTCTTCAATGTCTATGCACAGACTTGTAAAACACACGAGATATCCAGTTTAAAGTATGATAAACTGCAAATTTGCTCTAATACCTCGCTGTCGAGTCCCAGCAGGAAGACCATAAAGAAAAACAGAACCGACCATAGAGGGGCCAAAGGCATCTGAGCAACAGCTTCTGGGTAAGCGATGAATGCAAGTCCTGGACCTGGGGAGGAGGTGATGTGATGAGTTAGAGACCAGTAACAACTTTTTTCTTGGGGGGGAGGGTTGGAGGATTTGGGAGGGGATCTCATGGTTTTCAGGGGAAACGAAGGGGATCAGTCGCCATCAACAGAGTATAGACAGGGGACTTAAGACAATTTGATTGCCAATGAACTGCCAGTGAGGGGGGATGATATGTATATTACAGAGCCCGGGAAATCAGGTAGATTTTATCGTGAAATAACTAATATCTTCTGAATGAGGGAACAAGATCTTCTTAAACAAAGTTTGAGAAGATACAACTTAATGAACTAATAAACATATGCGAGAGTGGTACGAGTTTTCTGGACTAATTACATAGGGATGGAAGGCAAATCCAATGCAATCTCGACTTGGTTTGAACAATCGTTTGAAAATTACTCTACCCAGGCTCTACCCGTCATTTCTTACCCCCTTTTGCCACATCCTTCACTTCAACCCCTTGCTTCTGAGCCATGAAGCCAAGAACTGAGAAAATCACAAAACCGCCGTAGAAACTTGTTCCACTGTTTACACAAGCGAATATTATGCTGTCCCTGTGCGAGAAATAGCATTAATTGTTAAGTTAAAATGTTTAACACAAATTTTCGCTAAATAAACAAGACATCCAAGCTTACACTTCTGCTTTTTATTTATTCAGAATTTAATTTTATTGAGAGTTTTCAATTAAGAGTCGAAAACCAAAACCCAAGTGATCACAGAAACCAATCAGAACAAGGGTGGAATTACCATGAACCAATGGGAACTCAAGATATAATCAGGCACCCTGCGTAAAGCGCGGGAAAACACGAGTAACCAAGTTGAGATTGGCTTTAGTTTTGCATTTGATTGATCAAGGTGGTGGAGAGAGTTTTTTAGACCAATTACGGGGAAAAGTTAAAAAGACTTATGCAAAGCAATCTAAGACCAGCTGAAAACCGCGCTATCGTGAAATACTTAGTAATTGTGTTTTAAATAGATACAGATGTTCGACCCCTTTGACTCTTTCATTATAAAATCCTATCAATGGTGTCACTGTATTCGTAAATTAGATTCTCCGAGGCAGCATCTAGGTTTTAAAACGTGAGCAAATTTGCTGATTGAAAGCTCAGTTTCGCTAAATGTAATCTCATACAAACAAGGCCATAATATCTCAGCTAGAACTGTGGAAAGGTTATCGAAACGTCACCAAGTAGACAAGAGGCGACACTCTTGGCAAAGAAACCAAGCAAATGTTCTTGTGTTTTCTAACCTGTAACAGTTGTGATGGAATCTGTTGTAACTCCCGAGGGCAATCAACGTTCCAAGTCCAATAGAATATGAAAAAAACACTTGCGTTCCAGCATCAAGCCACACCTTCGAGTTTGAACAAAAACTAAGAGTAAATAAATGACCAAGTGTAAACTTTAATTTATAGGTAGGTCTCAATGGGGTAATAGCTTTTACGGCTAACAGTTAAAATTTTGGCCCATTAACAGCTAACAGTCAGTTTTTTTTTCCCGTTGCAATTAAAAGAACAATTCTTACGGTAAACATTTTTTACGAATAACAGTCTAAAATTGTCAACTTTTACACCTAACCCATTGAAACCCTCTTAAAGGTTATAGTTGATAAATAACTAATAAAAATGTTTTTCTGACTTGGCCCATTTCTTCATCATTTCGCACCTGACCATCAGCCAGTCGAGTAAAATTTGGAGTGAGGTAAAACTTGATCCCTTCAGCAGCACCAGGTAAAGTGACGGCTCGAACGAGCAAAATCGTCAAAAGTACATAAGGAAATGTGGCAGTGAAGTAGACAACCTGTGAAAGATATCATTCATGTAATGATGTGTTCCTTTCCCTGTCCGTATGTTTGTTTGTTGTTGTTTTTTTTTACGATTTTTTTTTACTGAGCTGTTGTTGTTAGCTAAGTATATTGGGCAATATTGTTGTCTGTATAGTAAATGTTTTGAACCCAGATGCAACATTTGAAAGTGTGGTTTAATCTTCTTGGTGGGGGTAGTCCCGAGAAGGACTGTTGTTGGTAGAAGTGACTGACGTTTCGACAAACTAAGCGGAAGTCATCATCAGGGTCAAATGAAGAGTTTTTGTCAGTCGAAGATCAGAGGTTGAGTATCAGAACGCGTAGGTCGGAGGTTCGATTCATCGTGTTGACAAGACGAAAAAAGCGTAAGTTTTAAATTAACTATGTTAAGATTATCCTAAGAAATTATTTGGGTGAAAGAATAAAAGGCCAGAAAAGAATGAAAGGCCAGAAAGAAGTGCCAGTTAAAAGATTTAAAATAATTTAGATATTCCTTAACCCTTTCGAATTTAGCTTTTAATGAGATATGATAAAAATTCAATTCTCGAGGAAAGTCCTGTGGGAGTTTCATTGGTAAACCGAAGTTATAAGAACGTCAATTAGAAACAAAAGGTTAGATACGTTTCTTATAACAGAAATTATCTCAAACAAGAGTATAAAATTTAAAAGTCCCTTAGACTCGGAAGAAAATTTTACTTAACAACATAATTCTCTCTATGAGAGGCAACCTAAGAGAGCAAGAAACTTAAAAATGTTAAGATTACAGCTCCCTCACCTTTCCTGTGGATTTGACACCTTTGAAAACACAGAGGTAACAGATAATCCAAGCCAACAAGAGACACAAAGCTACTTCCCAGTTCACTATGCCGGGTTCATCCAAAGCAGTGCTCAGCTTTAAGACTCTATGTCTGGAAAGATAGGTAAGTAATGTAGTTGGTAATCATCGCGGGGCTCGGTGACTTATGAACCCGCCTACTAGATATATTTGTTCAATTGTTCATATTGATGATACTCTGCGTGAAAATAATAATAGTAATCTTCCCTGTCTAAATGAATGACCGACTGACTGACTGACCAACTGACCCACCGGCCGACTGATCAACTGACTGACTGGCTAACTGACTACAACTGACCAACTGACCAACTGACCAACTGACCAACTGACCAACTGACCAACTGACCAACTGACCAACTGACCAACTGACCAACTGACCAACTGACCAACTGACCAACTGACCAACTAATCAACTGACCAACTGACCAACTGACCAACAGACCGACTGAACAACTAACTAAATGGCTGACTGACCGACTGACCGCCTGATAAACCAAGTGATTGACCTACTGACCAACTGACCAACAGACCGATTGAACAACTGACCAACTAGCTGACTTACCAACTGACTGCCTGACAAACCAACCGACTGATCAACTGACCAAATGACCAACAGACCAAATGAACAACTGACAAACTAGTTGACTGACCGAATGACCGCGTGACTGACCAACTGACTGACCGGCTGACTGGCTGACTGGCTGACTGGCTGGATGACTGACTAACTGGTCGTCTGACTAACTAACTGACTGACTGACCAACAGACCGATTGAACAAGTGACCGACCAGCTGACCGACCGACTAACCGCCTGACCGACTGACTAACTGACCTACCAACTGACTGAGTGACTAACCTACTAACTGACCGACCCGCTGATTTACCAAATGAATGACTGACCAACTGGCCGATTTACCGACTGATCGACTAGTTTCGAGTACAAGGTACTCTTTTTTCCCGCAATAAATAAGCTTAAAACATCGGGACGCTGCCCATAATCTTTTACACATAACGCATACTGTTCATTTGACTTTGACATTTGTTAAAGTGGCTGTAAGGAAAATTTGTTTAACAATAAAGAGCTTCTTTAGTTGGTGATAATTTTTTTTAAAATTTTCGTGACCTAACTGTTTGAGTCAGGGGTAATAAGTTACTCTTAGAGGTCAAAGAGTTAATATTAAACTACCTTACAGCTTCACTCACTCAAAATACTCCTCGCTCGCAGACACTTTAGCTGCCTTTGCCACTGCAGTTGGCACTGTTGACATGTTCGACATGCTCGCCATTACGGTTGGTAAGACTGTGGTATTGCTGGAGCCTTTTTCAGATGTGACATAGTCAATACAATTCGGTGTGTTCCATTCATTGCCACAGCGAGACCAGGGAAGCTCGGATCGGAAAGATGCGAACATGTAAAACAGAGCCCAGCCAAGGATGACGATGTAATATATGTTTAAAAACTGAACGATGATGACACTTGCCCATCCAATGCCTGCAATGAAATCAAAGTTCAAATGTTTATATATGTATATATATGTATATATGTATATATATTCACTGTAAGTTGTTGTTCGTAATAAACCCGATATCGTAGAGGTCATGGGTTCGAATACCGTACAGGCCTGAATTTTTTTCAGGCCTTACTTTCACTGTTGCTTGAGTAGTTTTCATTAATGAAAGGATCGCTTTCATATTCATTTCTTAAATATTTTCATATATGCACTGCCATCGATTCATCACTTCACGGGTTTATTGCAAACCAACATAATGACAAGCTGCCAGCTGGCTTGTCAACTCGATCAGTTGATAGATCATTGCACTGGTATCGCAAAGGCCATGGGTTAAAATCCCGTATAGGCTTGAGTTTCTTTTCAGGCCTCATTCTCACTACTGCCTAAGTACTATTCATTGCTGCCAAGATCGTTTTCATATTCATATCTTATCAGTCTCTCGTGAACGCAAAAAGGTAAAAGAAAATGCCTGATTGTAGGTATTTCGTTCCTCCCATACATTCTCACTTTCTCTAAAGCTGAATGGAAGACCTAGTGCGAGCAAATGGCGGAAAATTGTCAAGACCCGGTGTAATGTAGTACAACAAGAAAATATCAACTGACGATATTCTCTTGAGTACAACTTGAAAATCGTTAATCGTCTTACTTAACGCTAACAAGATGTCGGCACTCAATGACACAGTAAAAGGTATTTGAAATGTTACATCAGCCAATTTGACTTCTTCCCTCGAATTGTTATCGATGTAACCTATTTTTACGTTATTTAATGGTCACGTATTAGTAATACTTCGCTCTTTTAAACATTTATGTTAAATGGGGGCTGATGCTCGAAACGTTAGAATCTCTTTACCTTAAAATCTTTTTACGGTGGCCATTTTTCATTATAAACTCGGCTGATAGCACAAAATTATATCGGGATATCCCCCTCCCTCCTCCCCTACTTACTGACACAGCACCACAGTTTCTTATGGAAACTTACACTCGCTATTTCTTATCATTAACGGGGTTACGAAGAAAATTATAATCATGATTTCTCGATTATCGTTTGCCACACCCAATGGGACAAAAACCAACGATTGAACTATTACATACATTTAAATCGATAAAAGCAAACCTTGAAAAAGCGGACATATCAGCCATGCTGTAATTCCACCTTGACTTGCAAACTGCCCCAGACAAACTTCCAGGATTAGAACAGGGACACCAGCAAAAACGAGGCAAATTAGGTACGGGATCAGAAAACATCCTACATGAGGTACCCGGTAACACATGAAAACAAAGCAAAAATGTGAATAATGAATCAAGAACGAATCACAACTTAGTGGAAAACACATCAGCCAGAGGCTTTCTTCGTCAAGTGCACCTCTTAACGAAAACCTGTTCATTGCGTTTAAATCAGCAAATAATGTTTAATTGTAAAGAAAAGCTTGCTGTTTCTAATTCTTAAATAGTATACATTGGTCAGCTTTGTTGTCAACGCAATTTTTTGATCATAAACCGACGATAAATCGCTTGAGGCAAAAGACCATCCAAACAAAAGGAAAATTAATTATATTCAGAAAGATCTGAAACAATTATATCTTGACTATTTCAAAATGGAAGCAGTGTAGAGTAGTCTAGGAATGGTTTCAGTTAAAATCTGCATATTTGTATTTTTCCATGCATGCAAAAACTTTTCGATTTCTGTTCCTAACAACGAAAAGAAAAGTTTTCAAGCTTATAGAATAGTTTACTAAAATAATGGCCCTTAAGCCCTTGCTAAAGTTTCAAAGACGTCACTGTTTTGCATAAGTAGTAGGTAAATTGTATTCTTTGTAAACATTCTTAAACGATTGTTCGATCGTGCCTAACGTTATACTTAAGTCACGGAAATATATTAGTTGCTCGCAGCAAGACAAAAATGAAACAGTTTTTCAAATTCAGTGTCAGGTACATCATTAGGCATCTATACAAAGTTCTCAAATGCAATTAAATAAAGTTTGCAGCCTAGTGTTGAGGCACGAGGCATTGACCCGAGTGACACAGAGATATATGTTTGTTAGTTTAAAGTGGTGAAAGAAGCCGTTCAAAACAAGTTTGACTGTTGGGATTACTCGCTTGCTCACTTGGTCTCAGCAAGACAGAAAGAAACAGCTTTCAGATTCATTGTTAAGTACATCACGTGGCCACCAGATAAAATTTTCAAATCTAATCAAATAGAGTTTATAGCCTATGGCTTGTGAGACACATGCATGGCCTTGACGTGAGTGACGCACGGACGGAGGCATCTCAGTATAATGTGGTGAATGGATGTCAAAACAAGATTGACCAAAGACATATTTTACGAACTGTTAATTGTTTTTCAAGCTGGCTATGCTGCAGAATACCCTGCCACTCATTTACATGTCACTGAATAAGAATACAGTTTGTTGTATTATGCCTCCATCTTCGAAGCCTCCCGACACATAAATGAGGTGGACCAAAGTGGCAAGGTATTCTGCAGTTGCTCCTTCGCGCTTTATTCGAACATACTCAAATGGAAACGAATGAAGTTTCGCCAGATTATCAAAAGCACCAGCACTTACATAATACAAGTAAATTTACAGTAATTATCATCAACCGTCACGCCATCTACACTCACCTCCACCATTTTTATAGCAAAGGTACGGGAAGCGCCAAATGTTTCCCAGTCCAACAGAGAACCCTACGAGGGCAAGAACAAAGTCGATCGTCTTGCCCCAAGTTTCCCGCTTATTGACTTTATTATCCATTGATAACGGGCAGTGTTTAATCTCAACTGTGAGCCGTTGAAAACTATTTCATAAAGAGTGCGTACGCTTCACATTTCCATCTTATTTCCATATTCATGAATCATGCTTTGAATGACAAATGTCTGTAATAATTGGAAATAAGGTTTTCTATTTTTAACTATTTTCTCTTTTGGCAGGTCGACCTTTGAAGTGCTTGTGAGGGCGGTTTCCGTGCATGATTAATTGTGCTTTTCGACAAGTTTTCTTTTTGTTGAATATGATCATTGAATATTTTGTTTTTTTCTCTGGTTTGAATAACGCTAAACGATATTCAAAAGATAAATATTAGTAAGCTCAAACCTGAAGTAGCTGTAGTCATGTAAAAGTAACGTTTAACTCTTCTGATTATCGGAGAACAAGAGCAAGGAGTGGTCGTATCTAAGAACAAGTGACAATTGTGCACCAAACAAATACTAGTTGCTAAAGGAATTTACTTTAAAACTTTAACAAGAAAAGTTTTACACTCATCCAGAATAGGTAATAAAACATGTGCCTAATAATTGGTTTCCGCTCACGGACGAATGATATTTACATGATCAAGTTAAACGAGCCGTATCATAAGTATGGACTTTGGCATCTAAGCCATTACTTTCTTATCTTAAAACACTCTGCTGATGCTTTATGTTGTTTATTTATCTCTCTCGATTAGGATTATCGTGTAAAATAGCACTTCGTGAGTAGCCGTCATTTGTAACTTTCTCACTGTAACTTCGTCATGTTTTAATTGCCGTGTTATGGTGCAGGTATCTGATACACAAACTGTGCCTTTTAGAACCAAAGAGGTTAAAAAAAACCTTTGAAAAACAACTCTGACCTGAAGTGCAACACAGGAGAGATGCTAAGCGTGACGAAATTTGACGGTCTTGCAAGTCAACAACAGCGGGTAATTTTTCTTGAGAGTGAACTAAAACATTTTACGTCATAAATCGAAAACAAAGCTGTTACGGAACCCCACGAACTAGAGCAAACTATGTCAGTGGTTTTTTTGAACAGCTAATGTTGATTCGTTCTCTTATCTCCGCTTAATCCAACAATAGAGAAATTTGCATATGTCTTTGATAATCAGTCAGCTGTGCGAGGTTTTAAGATTGCAATAGACCTCTATCTCAAAGTTGTATTGATAAATGAATTGCACTAGAACGTGAAAATTGCGATTATTTATTATTATTCTCTTTTGAAGGGAAAGTATAACGAAATTAGAAGGAACGTACAGCAGAGAGAATGCATGGTCATTCCCAACTAAAGGGATACAACTATGAACAGAACGCAGCTCTTCTCGTTTTCAAGCTGAAAAATAAACATGTGGGATAGGCGGATTAGTTTTCAATTATCAAGTGATCGGCCAAAATGAGCACGGAAATAAAGAAGTACCACGAAGAAAGATTTATAATGGCAGAAATAGAACTGAGAACAGAAAAAATGTCTTTAAATATGGAATGCTTTTCGAGTTTGTTTGGATACCTGTAGGAAAGATTAATTACCAAGCCTTTGATCTGAACTTTCAGCATACACATCCCTAAATCTTCAAAACTTTTCTGAACCGATCCGGATGCCTTGTAGTGATCCTAGCTCTCCAGTTCCCTGACCTAATATACCTCTACGCTTTAGAAAGCATTTCGCATTAGGGTTTAGCATTAAACACAATCCCAATACTTGATTCGACTATTTCCAATACTTAAGGATCAAAATTTTAGTAGTTATCTTGGTATTATTCATCCGATGTCATTTTTCATTTGATATTAATAAAAAAGACAGCCCTTTATTCGTTTCAGTAAAATGTACGGATGTCACTGGTCCTTAACAGCCAACGTTCTCGGCCAGCAACTAGTCGCCTGATTTTTTTCTGAGAATTATGCTCCGCCTGGCAGAATTGCAATGAAAATTACAAATGTAGGTGTTGATGGAGGGTAGCTTTCTTTTCAGAAAAATGGGGGAAAGGATATCTAAATGGCGATGATAATGATGACACTAGTATTAGTAACAAAGGAATTCTACACTGTCTTTCAATTTTGAAATTTAATGACAATATTCATATCATTATATTCATGTTATGGAAGTAATAACGGTAACATGAAAAATATTCCGTTAACACCATTATTGTTTGAACAAATTAATACGAATATTTGATACAATTGAGGATTTGTAAGTAAATATATTCCAAAAGGATGACCGTTGCCTGACGGTTCCTACAATGATTAAAATAAACAGGTACAGGGTTTGTGAAAAGTCCCAATAAACACATTATAGCTGAGGAAAACCAAATCATACGTATATGCCCTCAAAGCGATGCCGTGGTTTGGAGTTTGTAAGACGCCTGAGGGAAATCGTGCCTTTTGGCCTCTAGTGACTGATTCTTTAGACTGGGCGTGGTCAGGGTATCCCAACGCTGTTGACGAAAATGAATGAAATGCATGAATAAGTTAGATGATGTAAGAGGTCATGAAAAGAAATGATCCTCGCAGAAGTGTTGGAGTTTTAGCCATTGCAGGATAAGCCTAAAAATATTCAGGCTCCGAAGGGACCCGTGTCTCCCAGATTATTGTTGGTCACCACTATGTACCAACTGAGCAAGGAAGCCATTGGTTGGGAGTGACGCAAATTCTATAGGATTCTTATTTTCCGTGAGGAGAAGTCGATGTAAAGATTTTTGTCATCACTCGCGACTATGTGTACGTATAGCGAGTAAAATTATTAGTAGACTCGTCATGTCATCGAAATACTTGGATCTCAACCGGTAAGTCAAGACTACGTCTGTCGGAACGTACAGTTGATCATAAAAATTGCTAATTAATTCTGGGTTAAGGAGAGCTGGAGACACAAGTGTCTTGTCAATGAATACAGTAACTGGCCAGAGCTGGAATTCTGACCGGTTTGGACTCTGCAACAAAGCCCGAGCCCTGACCTCAGCAACTTTCAAGTATAGTCGGTCGAACTATTGTGATTACTTTACATTACTTTCCAATGCAACCGTTAAGGTTCCTCCAATATATGCAAGACATATTCACAATGCCTTGCTTACATTGGAGATAAAATATACAGACGCATAATTTTATGATTGTAATAGGGTGTGTACAAAGGAAAATGAGGAATCTTAGTTTGAATTGAAACGTTTTCATCTAAAACTCTTGAAAATCAACTGCCGACGTTTCAATCACTAGTTTTTCATTCGCGCATCGTATTTGAGGTTAGAGAATTTTTTTTTCTCAAACATGGTATCAGTAACACATTCTCCCCTTAAAGGTTAGTGAACACTAATGTGGTAGTTACTTCTCTTAGAGAGCCTGGTGTTGTGGCCAACTTGTATATCATCACAATTGGAATGCACACGATTGAAGACAAAGCCATGATCCAGCCTATGGTTTCTCCCCAGTCAGGGTACTTGTAACCGTTGTATTCTAGAGGCGAGTACGTCACTAGACTGAAAATGAAGACGCCCTGTGGACAAAAGAGATGATATCCTTAAGGTGACTCATTCTGGCCAAGGCTCAAGCCAGACTCTCTTGACCCAGATGCCATTGTGTTAAACGTAACGGCAAATTAACATTTATCTAATAAAGTCACTGCCTTTCCCCCTCTCTATTACGTCTCTTAATGAAACTGAGAACAATTCTGAGACTGATAAATAAATATTTTGTCTTACCAAACAGAAAATAGGTGTGAATATCATCCAGCACCACCTGAGCCACGGGTTGATACGAAATCCGATCATATTCTCCATATCGTCATAGAAACGTTCACCACCTATCGGAAAACCAATGAAATTGGGTCGGTTCATACAAGATACTGAGACAATGGGAAACTCGCACGTGATCGAAGGAAACGTGGACTGTGGAATCGCACTGTCTCCTAATTTATCGTAACTTTCATTGGAGGTTAAAACTCCTTTAGACGGTTGGTCAAAGCATATTCTGTGTCCAAACGTTTTAATAAAGACCACTTTAGTCAATTTAGGCGTATAAACAGAACCTCCGTCCCCACTCCTGGTTGCAACTATTATCTTCTTACCGTAGATCCAACCAATGGCAATACTTTGGAACAAGGCGATCCACAAAAGAGCAGAGCCACTGGCCGAGTAATTGTCAAATAGTTGAAAGACGTACATCCCACCCTGAGAAATAAAGAAAAACATCAACATTTAATGAAAATCGTGGGCTGCAATTCCACAAAGGTATGAAGAGAAGTGAATAAGACATAATCTATCATATGATCAAGCTCCCTAACGCTTTCTCCGTTGCTCGTCTGTTAAAAATGTAAAACCAGAGCTTATATCTATTTTTGCCGATTGCGGTTGTCGTGTCATGGTTAACAAATCGCACTTTTTTTTTGTTTCATGTTGGAGACATATGCTTTTTTTTTTTTTTAATTGTATGTAACTGTATAAAAATACATATCCCTTTAAAACTAGCGGAAATGTGGTCGTAAAACACAATCCATTCCTGCAGAAAAATACTTCGTAAGTTAGCGCTTTTACAGAAAAAAATCATTTACTTTTACGTTCTATGATCTTTTATTATTTTGTTTTTTTGGCAAATTATCAATCTCATGAAAGAAATTTAATTGAAGTAAAAACTCTGTGGAGGCTTTTGATCGGGGCTTCATTAACCAGGAATTTGATATAAAAAGTAGAGTTACTTTCCGAAGAGCTTGTTGAGGCCCTCATTAAGGACCTTAAGTAGTCAGGACGGGGAAGCAGAGGAAGACGTGAATTTAGGAAACTGATTCTTATTTGTGGTGAGAATTTCACGAATGACTGGACGTGTTTACCATCACTTACGTTGCCACCCAAACTTACGCTTAACGCATGTGCGCATGGTTGCGTTAAAAATGGAAACATAAATGATCTGCCGTCAGAGTTTGTCACGCAAATTTTGATAATTTGCGGTGTTGTTGTTTTGCCTCCTCGTTGCTGCCGTCGTGGTTTGCTTAAGCGAGAGTTTCTTCGCCTGCTAGAGGCTTTCAGAAACGAAAACCAGCAAGAAGTGTGCACCGAGTGTAGGTCTCATTATTAGTGCCACTCAGATCCCCAGCACCGATCCCAGAGATAAACCTCCCGTCGACTCGACCTAAATCTTTTTGCAGGAGGAGAAAAAAGCGTCCTGCAGGGCTTAATAATAATGACATGCTTGTAATCTAGTTCCACGAGGTTATAACACAAGATCTCTACGTTTTTCTTTTATGCTTTTGAAGGTACCTTAGTAACCATGGACAGACCAATGAGAAACCAGATACAGCACATAAATGCGATGAACATCTCTTTACGATAACCACGCCTTAAGTGTCTGGGGAACAGGTCCACAATGGCTGTTACAAATCCCTCAATGCCTACAAACTTGGAATAAGACAAACATTAGAGGTCATTATCATAATATGCGCCTTTGTGTTTTCTTCAATGTCAATACACATACTTGTAAAACACACAAGATATCCAGAATAAAGTTTGATAAACTGCAAATTCGCTCTAATACCTCGCTGTCGAGTCCCAGCAAGAAGACCATAAAGAAAAACAGAACCGACCATAGAGGGGCCAAAGGCATCTGAGCAACGGCCTCTGGATAAGCGATGAATGCGAGTCCTGGACCTAGCGAGGAGGCGATGTGATGAGTTAGAGACCAGAAACAGTTTTTTTTCATGGGGGGTTTGGAGGATTTGGGAGGGGATCTCATGGTTTTTAGGGGAAAAGGAGGAGTTCAGTCGCCACCAACAGAGTGTAGACAAGGGCCTTAAGAGGATTTGATTGCTAGTGAACTGCCAAAAAGGGGGTATGATATGTATATTACAGAGCCCGGGAAATCAGGTAGATTTTATCGCGAAATAAACAATATCTTCTGAATGAGGCAAAAACTAAGATCTTATCAAACAAAGTTTGAGAAGATACAACTTAATGAACTAATAAACGTATGCGAGAGTGGTGCGAGTTTTCTGGACTAATTACATAGGGATGAAAGGTAAATTTAATACAATCTCGAGTTGGTTTAAACAATCGTTTGAAAATTGCTCTACCCAGGCTCTACCCGTCTTTTCTTACCCCCTTTTGCCACGTCCTTCACTTCAACCCCTTGCTTCTGAGCCATGAAGCCAAGAACCGAGAATATCACAAAACCACCGTAGAAACTTGTTCCACTGTTTACACAAGCGAATATTATGCTGTCCCTGTGCGAGAAATGGCATTAATTGTTAAGTTAAAATGTTTGACACAAATTTTCGCTAAATAACAAGACATCCGCTTTTTATTAATTCAGAATTTAATTGTTTAGAGCAGTTTTCAATTGAGGGCCGAAAACCAAAACCCAAGTGATCACAGAAACCAATCAGAACAAGGGTCGAATCATCATGAACGAATGGGAACTCAAAATAAAATCAGGCACCCTGCGTAAAGCGCGGAAAAAGCAAGTAACCAAGTTGAGATTGGCTTTAGTTTTGCATTTGATTGATCAAAGTGGTGAGAGAGTTTTTAGACCAATTACGGGGCAAAGTTAAGAAGACTTATGCAAAGCAATCTAAGACCAGCTGAAAACCGCGCTATCGTGAAATACTTAGTAATTGTGTTTTAAATAGATACAGGTGTTCGACCCCTTTGACTCTTTCATCATAAAATTCTACCAATGGCGTCACTGTATTCTTAAATTGGATTCTCCAAGGCAGCATCGAGTTTTTAAAACGTGAGCAAATTTGCTGATTGAAAGCTCAATTTCGCTAAATGTAATCTCATACAAACACGGCCATAATATCTCAGCTAGAACTGTGGAAAGGTTATCGAAACGTCACCAAGTAGACAAGAGGCGACACTCTCACGCAAAGAGACCAGGCAAATTTTCTTGTGTTTTCTAACCTGTAACAGTTGTGATGGAATCTGTTGTAACTCCCGAGGGCAATCAACGTTCCAAGTCCAATAGAATATGAAAAAAACACTTGCGTTCCAGCATCAAGCCACACCTTCGAGTTTCAAGAAAAACTATGAGTAAATAATTGACCAAGTGTAAAATTTAACTTAAAGGTAGGTCTCAATAGGGTAATAGCTTTCACGGCTAACAGTTAAAATTTTGGCTCATTAATAGCTAACAGTCAATCTTTTTCCAGTTGCGATTAAAAATAATGTTCACGGTTAACATTTTTTACGAATAACGGTCCAAAATTGTCAATTTTTTACGCCTAACCCATTAAGACCCTCTTAAAGCTTGGAGTTCATAAATAATAAAAAAAATATATTTTTTGAATTGGTTCATTCAATTTTTACAATTTATTCACCATTTCTCACCTGACCATCAGCCAGTCGAGTAAAATTTGGAGTGAGGTAAAACTTGATCCCTTCAGCAGCACCAGGTAAAGTGACGGCTCGAACGAGCAAAATCGTCAAAAGTACATAAGGAAATGTAGCAGTGAAGTAGACAACCTGTGAAATATATCATTTCTGTAATAATGGAGTTTCCAATCAGAGTTTCAGTGTTTGATAAGCTCCTTTCCCTGTCCGTATGTTTGTTTGTTGTTGTTTTTTTTTTATTGAGCTGTTGTTGTTAGCTAATTATATTTGCCAATATTGTTGTCTGTATAGTAAATGGTTTGAACCCAGATGTAACATTTGAACGTGCGGTTTTTAATCGTCTTGGTGTGGGTAGTCCCGAGAAGGAATGTTGTCGGTAGAAGTGACTTACGTTTCGACAACCTAAGCCGAAGTCATCATCAGGGTCAAATGAAGAGTTTTTGTCAGTCGAAGATCAGAGGTTGAGTATCAGAACGCGTAGGTCTGAGGTTCGATTCATCGTGGTGACAAGGGGAAAAAAGCATAAGTTTAAATTAACTGTGTTAAGATTATCCTAAGAAATTATTTGGGTTAAAGAATATGTATAAAGGGCCAGAAAGAAGTGCCAGTTAAAAGATCGAAAATAATTTAGATATTCCTTGACCCTTTCGAATTTAGCTTTTAGTGAAGGATAATAAAAATTCAGTTCTCGAGGAAGCTCTTGTGGGAGTTTCATCGGTAAAGGAGATTGTAAGAACGTCAATTAGAAACAAAAAGTTAGATACGTTTCCTATAATGGAAATTTTCTCAGAGAAGTGAATAGAATTTAAAAGTCCCTTAAACTCGGAAGAAAACTTCACTCAACAACATAATTCTCTCCGTGTTGGGCAACCTAAGAGAGCAAGAAATTTAAAAATGTTAAGATTACAGCTCCCTCACCTTTCCTGTGGATTTGACACCTTTGAAAACACAGAGGTAACAGATTATCCAAGCCAACAAGAGACACAAAGCTACTTCCCAGTTCACTATGCCGGGTTCATCCAAAGCAGTGCTCAGCTTTAAAACTCTATGTCTGGAGAGAGGTAAGTAGTGTAGTTGGTAATCATCGCGGGGCTCGGTTGACTTATGAACCCGCCTACTAGATATATTTGTTCAATTGTTCAAATTGATGATACTCTGCATAAAAATAATAATAGTTATCTTCCCTGTCTAAATGAATGACCGACCGACCAACTGACTGACCAACTGACCCACCGGCCGACTGACTGACTGACTGACTGGCCAACTGACCAACTGACCTCCTGACCAACAGACCGACTGAACAACTGACCAACTGGCTGACCGACTAACCAACTGACTGACCGACTAACCAACTGACCAACAGACCGACTGAACAACTGACCAACCAGCTGACTTACCGACTGACTGCTTGACAAACCAACCGACTGATCAACTGACCGACTGACCAACAGACCGAATGAACAACTGACAAACTAGCTGACTGACCGACTGACTGCCTGACTGACCAGCTGACTGACCGGCTGACTGGCTGAATGACTGGCTGGATGACTGGCTGGATGACTGCCTGGATGACTGCCTGGATGGCTGGATGACTGGCTGACTGGCCATCTGACCGACTGACCAACAGACCAACTGAACAAGTGACCGACTAGCTGACCAACCGACTAACCGCCTGACCGACTGACTAACTAACCAACTAACCGACCAACTGACTGACTAACAAACTAATTGACCCACCCGCTGATTTACTAAATGAATGACAGACCGACTGACCAACTGGCCGATTTACCGACTGATCGACTAGTTTCGAGTACAAGGTACTCTTGTTCCCCATAATAAATAAACTTAAAACATCGGGACGCTGCCCATAACTTTTTTACATATAATGCATACTGTTCTCTAAACATTTGTTAAAGTGCTTATAAGGAAAATTTGTTTAACAATAGAGTTTCTTTAGTTGGTGATCATTTTTTAAAAATTTTCGTGACCTAACTGTTTGAGTCAGGGGTAATAAGTCACTCTTAGAAGTCAAAGAGTTAATATTAAACTACCTTACAGCTTCACTCACTCAAAATACTCCTCGCTCGCAGACACTCTAGCTGCCTTTGCCACAGCAGTTGGTACTGTTGACATGTTCGACATGTTCGCCATTACGGTTGGTATGACTGTGGTATTGGCTATACTGGAGCCTTTTTCAGATGTGACATAGTCAACACAATTCGGTGTGTTCCAATCATTGCCACAGCGAGACCAAGGAAGCTCGGATTGGAAAGATGCGAACATGTAAAACAGAGCCCAGCCAAGGATGACGATGTAATATATGTTTAAAAACTGAACGATGATGACACTTGCCCATCCAATACCTACAATGGAATCAAAATTCAAATGTTTATAATATATATATATATATAAGCTCAGTTATGCACGCATTCTGATTGATTCTTACTTATGATCTATTGGAGGACAAACGTATAGATGACGCCACCATTAAAACTTTTTCCGTATATTTTAATTCTTTATTATATAAAACAAATAGATTCCAAGTTGCATACTGTGCCTCGTGCGCCACTTCTTTGTTCTTACCACATTTTGACGTCATCTGTGATCTATTACTGAACAGACACACGGCAACTTGGAATCTATTTTTTAAATATATTCACTGCAAGTTGTTGTTCGTAATAAACCCGGTATCGCAGGGGTCACGGGTTCAAATTCCGTACAGGCCTGAATTTCGTTACTGCCAAGATCGTTTTCATATTCATATCTTACCAGTCTCTCATGAAAGCATCATCTCACCGACAAAAAGCAGCAAAGGTAAAAGAAAATGCCTGATCGTACGTATATCTTTCCTCCCTTACATTCTCACTTTCTGTTAAACTGAATGGAAGACCTAGTGCGAACAAACGGCGGAAAACTGTCCAGGCTCGGTTTAATGTAGGACAACAGGAAAATATGAACTGACGATATTCTCTTGAGTACAACTTGAAAATCGTTAATCAAGGTAATCGTCTAACTTAGTGCTGGCAAGATGTCGGCAATCAAGAACACGATAAAAGGTATTTAAAATGTTACATCAACCAATCTTACTTCTGTTCCCTCGAATTGCTATTGATGTGACCTATTTTCACGTTATTTAATGGTCAGGTATCGGTAATACTTCGCTTCTTTAAACATTTATGGTAAATGGGGCCTGATGCTCGTAACGTTAGAATCTCTTTACCTTAAAATCTCTCTACGGTGGCCATTTTCATCATAAACTCAGCTTATAGGACCAAATTATATCGGGATATCTCCCCCGCCCAAACTTACCGACACAGCACCACAGTTTCCTTTAGAAACTTACAGTCTTTATTCATTATCTTTAACAGAGTTACGAGAAAAATTATAATCATGATTTCTTGATAATCGTTTGCCACATCCAATGGGACAAAAATCAACAATAGAACTGAACTATTACATACATTTTAACTGATTAAAACAAACCTTGAAAAAAGTGGACATATAAGCCATGCTGTAATTCCACCTTGACTTGCAAACTGTCCCAGACAAACTTCCAGGATGAGAACAGGTACACCAGCAAAAACGAGGCAAATTAGGTACGGGATCAGAAAACATCCTACATGAGGTACCCGGTAACACATGCAAACAAAACAGAATTTGGATAATGAATCAAGAACGAATTACAACTCAGTGGAAAACACATCAGCCGGAGGCTTCCGTCGTCAAGTGCACCTCTTAACGAAAACCTGTTCATTGCGTTTGAATCAGCAAATAATGTTCAATTGTAAATAAAAACTTGCTGTCCATAATTCTCAAATAATGTACATTGGTCTGCTTCGTTGTCGACGCAATTTTTGATCATAAACCGACGATAAATCACTCGAGGTAAAGACCATCAAAACAAAAGGAAAATTAAATATATTCAGAAAGAGCTGGAAAAATTACATCTTAACTGTTTCAAAATGGAAGCAGTGTAGAATGGTCTAGGGTGGTTTCCTTTAAAATCTGCATATTTGTATTTTTCCATGCATGCAAAAGCATTTAGATTTTTGTCCCTGACAACGAAAAGAAATGTTTTCAAGCTTATAGAAAGAAGGAGATTGATAATGTACTAAAATACCGGCCCTCAGAAGTTTCAAAGACGTCACTGTTTTGCATAAGTACTAGTTGTATTGTGGTCTTTAAAGATTCTTAAACGATTGTTCGATCGCTCCTAACACTATACTTAAGTCATGGAAATATGTTAGTTGCTCTCAGCAAGAGAAAAATGAAACAGTTTTCAAATTCAGTGTCAGGTACATCATTAGGTGTCTACACAAAGTTCTCAAATGTAATTGAATAAAGTTTGCAGCCGAGTGTTGAGGCACGAGGCATTGACCTGAGTGACGCACGGATAAAGGTTCGTTAATTTAAAGTGGTGAATGGAGCCGCTCAAAACAAGTTTGACCGATGGGATTAGTCGCTTTCTCATTTGGTTTCAGCTAGAAAGAAAAAAAAAATTTTTCAGATTCATTGTTAAGCACATCACGAGGCCACTAGATAAAATTTTCAAATCTAATAAAACAAAGTTTATAGCCGATTCCTTGTGAGACACGTGGATGGCCTTGACGTGGGTGACGCACGGACGGAAGCATCTCAGTATAATTTGGTAAATGGATGTCAAAACAAGGTTGACCAAAGATATATTTTACGAACTGTAAATTTTTTTCAAGCTGGCTAAGCTGCAGAATACCCTGCCACTCATTTACGCGTCATTGAATAAGAATACAGTTTGTTGTGTTATGCTTCAATCTTAGAAGCGTCCCGACGCATAAATGAGGTGGACCAAAGTGGCAAGGTATTCTGCAGTTGCTCCTTCACGCTTTATTCGAACATATTCAAATGGAAACGAATGAAGTTTCGCCAGATTATCAAAAGCACCAGCACTTACATAATATAAGTAAATTTACAGTAATCATCATCAACCGTCACGCCATCTACACTCACCTCCACCATTTTTATAGCAAAGGTACGGGAAGCGCCAAATGTTTCCCAGTCCAACAGAGAACCCTACGAGCGCAAGAACAAAGTCGATCGTCTTGCTCCAAGTTTCCCGCTTATTGACTTTATCATCCATTGATAACGGGCAGTGGTTCAACTCAACTGTGTGCCGTTGAAAAACTATTTCATAATGAGTGCGTACGCTTCACGGGCAGTGGTTCAACATTGGTTCAAGAGATTTCCATCTTATTTCCATATTCATAAATCATGAATGACAAATGTCCATAAGAATTGGAAAGGAGGTTTTCTATTTTAAATATGTTCTTGTTGGTAGGTCCACCTATCAAGTGCTTGTGAGAGCTGATTACGTGTATGAGTTTATTTTAGCCTTGAGAAGCAAAAAATCTTACGATTAACACGTTTGTTGTGCTTTTCGACAAGTTTTCCCTTTGTTGGATATGATAATTTTCTTTTGCCTAGTTTGAATAATGTTAAACAATATTCAAACGACAAATATTAGTAAGCTCGAACCTGAAGTAGCTGTAGTCATGCAAACGTAACGTTTATCTCTTCTGATTATCAGAGAACAAGAACATGGAGTGGTCATATCCAAGAGCAAGTGACAATAGTGCACCAAACAAATACTAGTTGCTAAAGGAATTTACCTTAAAACGTTAAGAAGAAAAGGTTTACACTCATTTAAAGTAGGTAATATAACATGTTTCTAACAATTGTTTTCCACTGACGGACAAATGATACACACATGATCAAGTTAAACGAGCCGTATCATAAGTATGGACTTTGACATCTAGGCCACTATTTTTTTATCTAAAAATACTCGCCGCTTGCTTTATATTGTTTATTTGTCTCTCTCGATAAGGATTGTCATGTAAAATAGCGCTTCGTGAGTAGCCGTCATCTGCAACTTTCCCACTGTGACTTTGTCATGTTTTAATTGCCGTGTTGTCGTGCAGGCGTGTGATACACAAACTATGCCTTTTAGAACCTAAAAGGTTAAAAAAAAAAAAAACCTTTGAAAAACAACTTTGACCTAAAGTGCAACACAGGCGAGATGTTAAGTGAGACGAAATGTGACGGTCTTGCAAGTCAGCAACAGCTACTTGCACCTGTGCGAGGAAAAAGTAAAGCAACAGCGGGTAATCTTTCTCGAGAGAAAACTTAAACATTTTACGTAATAAATCGAGTTCAAAGCTGTTACGAACTAAAGAACTAAAGCAAACTATGTCAGTGGTTCTTTTAACAGCTAAATTAATTCAATCACCTGAATTCGACCGTTACCTCGAACTTAGGAACCCATTTCCTTTGTTATCAATTTTTCGTTTACTTGATTTCAGCTACACTTCTTGACATAATTAGTTGAAATATTTCTTCTGAAGTACGTCTGAAATGTTCTTCCGTCCCTCTCGCCTTTATAATGATGCTAATTACCAATGTGTCTATGCCAGTGTTTCTATAAATGCTGATCTAACTATGTTAATTTTTCTATAAAGACCAATGTTTTAATAAACGCCCATTTTTCTATGAAGATGTTTCTATGCCGATGTTTCTATACCAGTGTGTCTATACCATTTAGCAGACCAACATCGAGAGGAGCAGGGGAGGATGTAGGTGTCCCAAAATTTGCAAACGGGGGTGTAGCCCGAAATCCCTGACAAATCGAATTGCCGAGTGTCTTTTTGTATCACTAACGTAGTCTTGTGCTAGTTCTCAATAGTCACCAAAAGGCAAATACTTAATAGAGTCGACTACTAAACAGTGTACTGAATTATAACGGAATTTAATTCAACTGCAGCTAACGCATTTGATCATTAGAAGGCTTAAAAGTTAGTACGTTCTTCGAAGTCCTCTAAAGCAATTTTTAAAACCATCTCTCTCCTTTCAATAACTAAGATCTTCGCTTGATCTGATCGCTTATTGTATACTTCTTGTTAATGCTAGACTGCTTAACTCGTTCATATCTCAATATCTAGTAATAATATCACACAACTGAATAAATCGACATAAATATTGCAAATATTCCTTACACTAATTTAAAGTAGGTAATAAAATATGCGTCTAATTATTGTTTTCCACTAACGGACAAATGATACTCACATGATGAAGTTAAACTAGTCGTATCATGAGTATGGACTTTGGCATCTAGGCCATTATTTTCTGATCTAAAAATACTCTCCGCTTGCTTTATGTTGTTTATTTATCTCTCTCGATAAGGATTGTCATAAAAATAGCGCTTCGTGAGTAGCCGTCATCTGCAACTTTCCCACTGTAACTTTGTCATGTTTTAATTGCCGTGTTATGGTGCAGGTATCTGATGCACAAACTGTGCCTTTTAGAACCAAAGAGGTTTAAAGAAACCTTTTAAAAACAACTTTGACCTAAAGTGCAACACAGGAGAGATGTTAAGCGTGACGAAATTTAATGGTCTTGCTAGTCAACAACAGCTACGTCTACTTGCACCTGTGCGCGGAAAAAGTAAAGCAACAGCGAGTAGTCTTTCTTGAGAGTGAACTAAAACAATTTACGTCATAAATCGAAAACAAAGCTGTAACAGAAACCCACGAACTTAAGCAAACTTTTTTGCTAGCTTTTAACAGCTAAAATTAATTAAATTATCTGAAACCGCCCGTTACCTCGAACTCATAAACCCATTTACTTTGTTGCGAATTTTTCGTTTACTTGCTGTCAGCTGCACTTCTAGACATGATTAGTTGAAATATTTCTAAGTACGTCTACAATGTTCTTTTGCCCCTCTCGCCTTTATAACGATGTTAATTACCAGTGTGTCTATGCCATTGTTTCTATAAATGTTGATATTCCCATGCCAATTTTTCTATAAATACCAATATTTCAATAAACGCCTATTTTTCTATGAACATGTTTCCATGCCCATGTTTTTATGCCAGTGTGTCTATGCCATTTAACAGACCAGCATTGTGAAGAGCAGGGGAGGATGTAGGTTTCCCAAAATTTGCAAATAGGAGTGTAGCTCAAAATCCCTGCCATTTCGAATTGCCGAGTGTCTTTTGTATCACTAACGTAGTCTTGTGCTAGTTCTTGATAGTCACCAAAAGGCAAGTATTTAATAGAGTCGACTACTAAACAGTGTACTCGAATTATGAGTACAAGGAATGAATGAATTATGAGAATGGACTTTACAATGAGTTATGAGTATGGACTTTGGCATCTAAGCCAATATTATCTTTTCTAAAAACACTCTCCGCTTGCTGTATGTTGTTTGTTTATCTCTCTCGATAAGGATTATCATTTAAAATAGCGCTTCGTGAGTAGCAGTCATCTGCAACTTTCCACTGTAACTTTGTCATTTTTTAATTGCCGTGCTATCGTGCAGGTATCTGATACCCAAGATGTGCCTTTTAGAACCTAAGAGGTTAAAAGAAACCTTTGAGAAACAACTATGACTTAAAGTGCAATACAGGAGAGATGTTAAACGTGACGAAATTTGACGGTCTTGCAAGTCAACAACAGCTACTTGCACCTGTGCGAGGAAAAGGTAAAGCAAAGGCGGGTAATCTTTCTCGTGAGTGAACTAAAAAATTTTACGTCTTAATCGAAAACAAAACTGTTACGAACTAAAGAACAAAAGCAAACTATGTCAGTGGTTCTTTTAACAGCTAAAATTAATTCAATCACCTGAATTCGACCGTTATCTCTAACTTAGAAACCCATTTCCTTTGTTATGAATTTTTCGTTTACATGCTGTCAGCTGCACTTCTAGACATAATTAGCTGAAATATTTCTTCTGAAGTACGTCTGCAATGTTCTTCCGTCCCTCTCAGGTTAATTAAGGCCTGGGTCACCCTGCCTTTAACCCATATTTTTTCACAAAATTGAGAATAACTTAGCTATTTTGCGAGGGTTTTTTCTTATACTTGGCAGAAATGTGTATCACTACCATCTCTCTCGGACTGAATTGTGGCAGCGTAATATGATACTCTCAACAGCCAAAAACAGTTAATTTAGGCGCCAAATTCGTCGGTTGCTTTCTTGAGCTATGAATATTTGAGAGTTTTTTCATTGTTTTCCCACTTGGAATGGCTGCCAAAAAAAAAAGAGAGATGTGCTAGGCAGATTAAATCAAGTTTTGTCTCCGCGAAGCTGCTTCTCTATCATGGTTTTGCCCGAAAACATCTTAGCCTTTACCTGGTTCCAACCGCTGTCAATGAAAGTAATCCTACAGGTTCCTATTTATTTGGAAAAAAGACAAATTAAAATTGTTTAAGAGGTGGGAATTTTGAAAACTCGCAGTCACGTATTCAACTTAGTGTCCGCCATTTTGACACGCGAGTGTTCAGAAGCAATTAAAATTACCTAACAACTGCTTTGGGGGATTACTTTTATAAGTAAATTCATCTGCTTCTTAGAGAAATTGTTTCCAAAGCATTCAAAAGCCTAAATTTTGATAGACACTATGAGTATACACATCATGATATGATAGAGGATTTATCAAGCTAAATTGAATTTCAAAATTGAATGGTATATCCACAATGAAACTTTTTCTATGCATTTGTTACAAAACATAGTACTTTTTTCTATGCATAAGTTACAAACATTGTAAAACGCTATTGAGCTCTAGAAATGAGCGCTATGTTATAAATTAATGTTGCATCGTATTTGCAGTGAAGTCAATGAGCATGTTGAGAGCGGTGTTTAGAAGTCTTCGTAGGTTCCAAAGGGTTCTCTTTGGCTTTAAGATAGCGATATCATGCCATTTTTTGAGGAAATGAAGACAGCAAAGAAAATTTTATTACCTTCTTTTGATGTCTTCCTCTAAATTGTCGGATTCACCAGCGAAGATGGGAAAAACCAATGCAAAGCCGACACTTCAAAATGGCGGATGCCGTACACGAACTACAAGATCTTGATTCCAAGTAACTATGGTCACTCGCGCAGTCCACGCGAATTCCGCGAACCTTGCTGGGGGGCACTGGAGGCGAAAATCATTTTGACCCAGACCTTAATTAACCTGAGCTCTCTCCTTTATAATGATGTTAATTACCAATGTGTCTATGCCAGTGTTTCTAGAAATACTGATGTTCCTATGTCAATTTTTCTATAAAGACCAATGTTTCAATAAACGCCCATTTTTCTATGAAGATGTTTCTATGCTAGTGTGTTTATACCATTTAGCAGACCAACACTGAGAGGAGCAGGAGGATGTAGGTGTCCCAAAATTATAAATGGGAGCGTGGCCCGAAATCCCTGACAATTGAGTTTCCGAGAGTCTTTTTGTATTGCTAACGTAGTGATACAAAAAGACAAAATTTGCATCTGGCAAGGATTTTCATTTAAGGTATTTTTTGACTTATTTAAACGTTGAAAAATGAATGGAAATAATATATTACCATAAGACACTCAGTAAAAATTATAATAAGCCGGATGATCTTTCTTAGTCTTTTTTGGCGGTCCTATTTTAACATGTTCGACATCTCTTTTTCTTAAAGGCGACTTACGATATAAACGTGTTGTGTAACAGTCTTCGAGGACTAGTTTCTCTTAAGATATCTTTTCAAGTATGATTCTTATTCTGTTAGTAAGTTCATTATAATTTTTTATATTACTAATCTTGTTTTAAACATCTCGAAGGTATCTACTTAGTATGCGAACTCCGCTCAGCGTAGCTTAACGCGATTCGCTAGTTCAATGTAAAAGCATGACAAAGGTGAGAGATTAGAGATTGATAGCTCAGCAAGCGTCACCTTATAAGCGGTGACCCACACTCTCCTCGCGAGATCTGAGCTAGTACCCGTTGTATTAACTTGAGTAGAAAAGAAGAGAATAAAGAAAAACTCAACAGAACGAGTGTTAGAGTTTTACTTCTAACAGTAGTCATGTGCCAGTTCATACTAGTCACAAAAGGCAAAAGTACATATTAGAGTCCACTACTAAACAGTGAACTCAAATTATGACATAATTTACTTTAACTTCAGCTAACGTATTTGATCAATAAAAGAATTAAAAGCGAGTACTTTCTTCGAAGCCTTCGAAAGCAATTTTCAAAACCCTCCATTTCCTTTTCAATAACTAAGACTTACGCTAGTTATATATTGCTCATTGGGGTAATGATATGATTGCTAATTGTACACTTTTATTAATGCTAGATCGCTTAACTGGTTCATATCTCAACATCTAGTTGTAATATCACATAACTGAATAAATCGACATCAATATTGCAACTATTCCAAAGAATAAAATGCATTGGCGTTTTCAAGTCATCAGGCCTTCTGCTCTTTTTCCTCGTTGTCTTTCGTCAACAGAGCAGCCTGGTGTCCCCCGCGATCTTCAAGTTCAATTTCATCCCTTTTCTCTTCAATCTCAGGTATAATCAGCTTGTTCAAACGCTGGCAATAAAAGAAAACTTACAACTCACTGAAATCTCATCACATAAAGTAAAACTATCACCAAATGTCTCATTCCATGATTTTAGGGTGATGCAATTATTACTGCGTCGACTAACTACTTAGGTCAGTTGCCCCGTTGTTATGTACTCACAAGAGATCATAATGGAAAACGCCTCGAGTGCAACTTTTTTGTTCTTACCACATTTTGACGTCATCTGTGATCCTTACTTAACAAACGCAAGGTAGCATTGAAAATATTTGTTAACTCTTTAACTCCCATGAGTGACCAAGACAGAATTTCTCCTTACGATATAAATACAATATCAACAAGATAAGTGATGAGAATAAAGAACAATATCAATTTGGGGATAATTATTTGATCTAATACTAAATTCTCTGAACTAACATTAAAAGAATCGTATGGTTGACGGTAAGGAGAATTACAAATTTTATCTGGGAGTGAAAGGGTTGATTAGATTTGTCTCTCTTTCAAGGTATGTGACGCGGGTCGCCGAGGAAGGCATTCTAAGAATTTTCGCAACTTCTGTACTCATTTCCTACGTCTGTGCGCGCACTAATAGAAAATGTCCAACTGCGACCCCACAATGACTGAATCATGTACCTCTCTGATTGTTCCTGTGGTCTTGATCAGTTTGTATATCATCACAGCCGGGATACAGGTTAGCGAGGTTGCCGTCAACAACCAACCAAAAGCCTGGCCCCAGCCTGGATAAACGTACTTGCCATAACTCATGGGCTGATACGTAATCAGGTTAAAGATGAAAATGAACTGCAACAAAAGTTAATACATAATTAGAGTCCCAGCTTGTTTAGCGACTCTACCATGTTCTAACTACGAGGATTATGTCCCACGGGCCAAGCGGCCTATTACTGCCAGACTTTAATCCTGTTTCAACAGCATGAGGGGACTGTATGAGGTAATTTTCATCGGAGCTAACCCTAATCTGTCCCTCTTTGTAGTAAGTTCTTACCTATTCATACGTTATTCGAAAATCTTTACATTTTAAAAACTATGTACCGTAAACTCACCGCACAAAAACTGGGCGCGAAAAAACACCAACACCAACCGATCCATGGATTGATTCGAAATCCCAGCATACTCTCCATGTTGTCGTAGAAACGATTACGACCTGTGTTTAGTTTAAAACATAAATCTTCATTGCTGCACGTTTTGATATAAATATGAAAGCAACAACACACCAAACGTGCGTTTTGTTGGAGGTTTCCTCAGTGTTTTATCAGAGTATTTCAGCAAATGACTTATGGGAACTGATACGTTGAAGGGACTACAAGAAGGTGTAAAACTTCGACCTCTTTTGGTCATATTTGTGGTCTTACTCCGAGACACAACTTCATTGAACTCAAAAGCAAAACAATCTTACAACTTGCCTTATTCGCGCTTATTTGCTCTGACAAGGGGCTAAAACTCAAAACGTCGGCTTTGAAACTCTTTGCGGTGGCTAATTTACATTATCAATTCAGTTGATAAAATGAAATCGTCTTGTCATTCGCATTTAATTTCGCGGGTAATAAATTCTGAGTTTTGCGCGGTTTTCCGAAAAATCGCGAAACTAAAGACTCACACATTTAAAATCTTTGCGGAATTTCATCACGAGAAATGTAATATCCGTATAGAAAATTCAAATCACAGAATTAAAATCTTAACATGTGATTAAACATAACACAAAGAAGATATGTATCGACAAATACACAAATTATCAACTGGTCTCTTTGTTAAGTTCTATTTTGTAACTTCTGTCGTGAATGGAGATAATTTGCAAAGATTTCGCAAATAAATAGAAAATAAATGACTGTAAATATATAAAAATCATTATGTGAACTTCGGATTGAGAAATGAATATAAAAGTAATCTTCGCAGTAATGAACACTACTTGGCACTACGAGGCCTTAAAAAAATTAAGACCTGTACGGGATTTAAACCAAGATAATACAGTGATATTTCTCTTGATTTGAACCCATGACCTCTGCGATACCGGTGAAGTGCTCTATCAAGTGAGCTAACTAGCCAATTAGAAGCTAGTTATTTCAATAGCTAGATTCGAACAAATTCCTAGGAATATCTTTCGAGCAGTCGTCGAAAGTTAAGAAATTTTGAAAAACAAAATAAGGTTGAAAGAGCTTGAACCGCGAAATTTAATGCCCTGTTTTAATATTTGCCTGCTGAAATCGCGAAAACAAAACCCTGAGAAATATTGTTTCGCCAAAACTGCGAAATTAAACTCGAATAAAGTAGGTGAAATCTCACGGCTAATACATGACCCCGATTCCAATGCCCCAGGAACCAACCCAGTTTTTTAAAAATTAAGCAAGCCTAAATATCATCATTCTTCAATGGAGATACTATTCTATCACAGATCACCCCCATGATAAGCATTCTGTAATTTTACTTCGACAATTTATCGTGAGCCTTTCAACCTCCCTGTCTAAGAAAGGTAAAAGGGAAATTATATCTTTACTGCCTCCCCGCCTCCGCACCCCCTGGGAGCAGAATCAGACTTCCTTAAAGGGTGATACGCATACTGATTCAATTAATTCAGTCTGTAATTGGGTTGGATTGTTACTTACCGTACAGCCACCCAATAGCCAGACATTCGCATATGACAACCAGTAGCAATACAGATCCGCTTCCAGAGTAGTGATCGAACAACTGGAAGACGTACATTCCACCCTAGAAAAGATATTGATTTTACTTGTTTACTGTATGGAAGGAAATTCTCTCTTAAAAAGGAGAAGTGTGCTCTAGTATTCCTTTGATTTTAATCTCCACGTTCAAGGAAAATACAAGAGATTTCGAAACTTAGCATGTTTTGAGGATTCAAAGATAAACCTGAAATATTGGCAATATTACTCGATACGCGCCAAAAACTTTACAACTGCTTCAATAATTTAATATGATAGTCGAACATTTTGTGCAGAAATCCTTAACACTGCAGGACAAAGTAGTTTCAAGTTAAAGTTCGTAATTTTCACTACTTCCCAGACTATTTTTCCTTCTAATAAATTCTGAATTTCCGTCATTAATTTGGAGTTGGATCTCAATTACATTACAGTCATGCCGTATTTACTAGGTAACTGAAGCGGCGAGGTATCAGTAAAGTTTTTATGACCCAGGTGCTGTCCTAATTCTGTGGAGGCACTCGCGAGAGGGCTATCTTTATATAAAACTAGAATCCTCTTCCTCCTCACAGTAATAGGCGATCATGTTCAAATGATCATTTACTCTCTCGTTTTCAATGGGCTTCTATATTAACAAAAATTTTAATGTCATTGCATCTTCTTTATGATCCAAATTTTTCTATATCGCCGTTTCGAAGTAAAACATTAATGCTTTGCATGAGATGTAGTTTAGGAAAACTTGTACCTCACAGAGACTTGGGACACAATTAACGAATAAGCACTGTATCTTTAGATGCAGCCCTTTTGGGTGCGACAGTTATTACTACATCCGCTCTCACATGGTTCGCCTGTTCGAGGACGACGCTTAAACAAGGGCGTCACGGTCTATTCGTCACCTTAGTAATTACGGTGGTCTTTTCAATCAAAAAAAACAATCGTGGTATACCGCTAGTTTTTAACAACAAAGCAACCAGAAGTGAAGCATACCTCGGTAACCATGGACAGCCCTAGGAGAAACCAGACTGCACATACAACAGCAGTGAAAAATTTCCTTACGGTAGCCACGTCTTAGGTATTGAGGATACCAATCCACAACTGCGGTCACAACACCCTCGATACCTACAAACTTAATTCATAGAGGAATCAAAAATCAGTGGTTACGCAATTCAAAGAAAAGAATGGAAACAAGCTATGGAAACTTACTTTAAGTTATAGACTAAATTGTTAGTGTTCTTGAATATGGTTTCAAAAGGATCTTGTTTTCGTATTGAAGATCCCTCGATTAAAGAATAGGGTTTGACCGTTGTAAAGGTCTGCTTTCCCATCAGTTGTTTTCTATCTCATGTTTTAAAATACTTATCCTGACCATGATAGTCCATTATATTGTTACACACTTAGATGCCATGCTTTTAACAGGAGGTCGAGATTGACCCATTGCAACAGGGAGCGATTAGGACGCCAGACTGTAATCTGGTGGTCCAAAGTTCAAGCCTACCGCCCTGCTACTCAATGGATTTGCTCTCGCTAACACCGAGTGCCACTCCTTGACTGCGCATTGTTTGTAGCTAACTGGTCTGCTTCCGGCCAGTTGAGACTTTTCAGCACTATTTTTATTTACATTTTTTTCAATTTGTTTGTATTGGCTTGGAAAATGTTACTTTCAAGATAATAAACACTATTTTTATAAACTTTAAGGCACATTTTACAAGCAAAATACTCTGTCATGATCCCTACTACTTTCACTTCTCCTTCATAACAAGGTCACTTTCAGCCTCACTTCTATGTAGGGCAAAGCAACCAAGCACACAGCTGTAATTAAAAAGAAAGCTATTTAATCATTACTTCTAATACTCAGCCTGGAGAGAATACGGGTAAAAAAATATTCTTACCTCACCGTCCAGGCCCAGCAAAATAATCATGAAGAAAACAGAGCGGACCACAATGGAGCTAAGGGCATCTGAGCCACGGCTTCCAGGATAAACAATGAAGGCCAGTCCAGGACCTACAAAGAAATTAATTAGATCACGAGGCATTTGGAGGAATTTGTAAGTTATACACTTTCAGCGTGATCGCCAGAGTATTGATTGCTTGAGCCGTGTGAAACAATGGTAACTGACTCCGGAAAGGTTAATCTGGTAAGAGTTTCTGATGCGTTAGTCCTTGTGAGCTAGGTGCTAAATAACTGTTTTACCTGCTTTCGCAACGTCCTTTATTGGAACTCCCTTGATTTTGGGCCATAAACCCAACACAGAGAAGATGAGAAATCCGCCGTAAAAACTTGTTCCACTGTTAAACGGGCTGAATATGATGGAACCCTACACTCAGAGAGATAGAAGGTGAACATAGTTAAAAAGCCAATCGTGATACCTGTAAATTGGCAAAACAGCACTTCAGATACATTGACACCTTCATAAAAGGATCCTAGAGGTCTTCCCAAGGGAAAACGCATTTTAATCTTGAGTAGATGACTTGTGACAAATCGTGTTTATGACTAGTTATTAACCCTGCGGAAGGTTTCTATGGGAGAATAATGACCGCGATCGCTATTACAGACTGAAAGCAATGATGTTTTTGACTAGTGACTTAGGTCAAGGTGTCAAAAACAGACCGACCTAGCTCGGTTTTATAGGATTTTTAAAAAATAAATAATTCTATTTTGTTTCTCAAAAATGGTTCAGGCATCTATTTGCTTACTTCTTTACTACTTGGAAGATCACAAGATTTTTCTCCAGCTTTAGCTGGGGTTTAGAATGTTTGGTTACGCAAACACATTTTAACCGATCGTGGCTAGCGAAGTATTTGATTGATCATTTAACCACCTGTAAAAGTTGTTCTTGTATTTGTTATAGCTTCCAAGCGCTGTAATCGTTCCTGTGCCAATGGAATACGAAAAACACTTGGGTGCTGTGCATCAAGCCATACCTGTGGAAAAGCAATTTCTATCTCAATAGAACAGTTTGAAGTTACACAATGTCGCAAACCAAGAAATATGTAGGCGATTTAAAGATCAAGACGT